AAATGGATCCATATGGTTTAGTAATTGAATCAACAATCATGGGGCACTATACTTTCAACTGTGGACTACAGACCACACTTGCTTTATCAGACCGACCCAGCATTGCTCACGACCCATAATCTAAGCAAGGGCTCATTAGTGGGTTACCAAAGTCTGGCCGATGAGTCAAGGGGTTGCAATCCCAGTCTGTGGATTACAGGTCCTCCTCTAGAGACGAGTCCAGGTCACCAAGACTTGATGTGACCACAGCTCTATGACGCATAGGGGGATCTCTCGCACATGCATACGCTTCATCCTAAAAGGTAGATTTATGACTTTCCCGAATGATTTATCGATATGCATGCCGTGTAATGGCATATGGATGAGGTTTTGACCCCCGTCTCTGTAAGCCACCATCACACACAAGGGTCACACAGTCCCTCGACTCACTCATTCGGACATGTTCTCCGACCTCATCAAGAGCTAACCCATAAACCCTCATCGGTTTGTTTTTATGCCGAGGTAACATAGGTTTTTCTCAACCGACTGACCTAGATCATCAAGCATAGTCCGGTATCTGCAAATATCGTTCGCATGGTATGGTCTACAAGGGACCACACTCCCACTGAGTTTATATTCCACTATGTTATTTCATTTTACAAGCACTCATAAGGCTGTTAAAGGCCACATAAACCCAACAAAAACTTGGGGCACATCCCTATTTCGAAAAAAAATTTATAGTGATATTATATTATATTATATCATATTAATAATACTAATATTATGTATTTGTATTATGTATTTATATTATGCATATTGAATAGTAATCATTAAAAAAGTTCTGAAATGGGAACTTCGTTGGAAAATTATTTTATGAACTTTTAGACAGAAATCGTGTGTCTAACATAGAACTTTTGAAAAATTAGAAAGATTTATTTATGAAATAAATCTTCTAGGAAAACAAACACGCCCTTAAAAATGTGAATGTCTCTTACAACCTCTATAGAATTAAGGTCCCTTCTTATTTTCACGACACGTGTCCACCCCTTAACTTTGGCTTAATAATGTAATATAAATACTAAATATGAAGAAATGCAAGTGAAATCATGGTAAAGTTGAATGGTTTATAATGAGGACAGTGTTGAAAAATAATACCCAAATTTTGGGCTTCAAGTGAAATTAGGTATTTTTATGGAAAAGTTTGTATAAAGTGTCAACCTTATACTATACAAGTAAAATGTGCCTTAAAAATATATTGAAAATGGTAGACCCGACGTTGAAAAATCATTCAATTAATCATCTTGACCTCAAGATATAGAAAATATTTCAACTTGTGAAACTAATGCATCATGTAACTCATTATTTGAAGGAAACATATAAAATGAAATTATTTAATTTTAATATGAGGATGTCACAATCATCATTGACCATTAGATTTGAAATCGGGTGGTTCAGGATGTGTCATTATTTGGATACAAAGTCCAAACAAAATTTCTCAAATATTTTGATACACTTTCATCTATTGAATTTCATATCCAATGGCTCAAAGTGTTTGTGACTTCCTTGTACAAAAAATAAATGATCCCACAGTATACAATCTCTTATTTAAATTGTCAATTTTATTATCAAGTGTTTATAGATATGTTCAATCTATAACTAAGAGTTTCCGGTACCGAAAATTCATCTTTTGGCATGATTTGGTGGTGTGCCTTTGATTGTTTATGGTTGGCATCTTATACAAACCATGCCTTATCGTTACGCGTAAAGTAGAGAGCATGCATTATGCTCACTAAGGAGCATTATGTAGTATAAACATGAGATTGAAGTGGAGCACCGTATTTGCTAGACGGTGGGGAGGGACCGAGAAAGAAGCTCGTTGGTGTGATAAAAAAAAAATCAGATGACAATTATTAGGGGCACATTTGGTTCATGTGAAAATATTTTTCAGGAAGTATTTTCGCGTGAAAAAGTTCCATCATATGGTTAGGTGGGTGAATATTTTCACACTAATTAGCTGCCAATTGGTGTGAAAAAATGCATTGGGAGCAATTTGTATGAAAATATTTCCACATCTAACCACATGACGGAATTTTTTTCATGTAAAAAAGTTTATTGAGAAATATTTTCACACATGAACCAAGCCCTAGAAAACATACACATGTAACCCATGACACCAAATCTCTGCCATCCATCGGTAATCGGATGGTGCATGGTCAATACAGTCGCATTAGCTTGTACAATGCAGCTTTTCAATGGATCATATGGCTTCCAACATTGTTTTGGGAACATGAATTGGGGATCAACTAGGTCACCGTGCAATTGGAGTCATTTCGCCGATTCCCGAGTTAACTCACTAATTCGGGGCGAGCCATCTCAAAATGATGTGAAAAAACCAAAGAAAATATTAATTTTGGATTTTTTTCACTTTTGGACGATCGACCAGGTCTATAACTTTTTGGAACTGAACTATGGGTTGTATCCCAAGTTGTCAAGTACTTGATTTTGAGTACTCGGGTGCTCAAAGAGGCCCCAACAATTAACCACAAACAATTGAGAGATATCTGGGAATTTGATTGAAGACTAAGAATCACCCGATCTTTGTGAAAATCTATCCGATTCTCAACAAAGATCGGGATCGGGGAGTCCTGAATAATGAACACAAGACGTTAGTTTGAAAGCATTTAAAACCAGTGATTTCCCAGTTCGGAGTTTGATTCGCCGAACTTTTAAACACTTGAGTTTTTCAAGCAATGAATTACAGCATAGAAATGTCTATATAAGTTGTTTAATTCAGACATACGTATGAGCATCACTTAACTTTTAACATACCTCTTAATCCTTTTAGTACAAGTCAAATAACCCCTTTTGAAGTTACCTTCAAAGCGTGCCCAGTAAATAACCAAATGTGTCCATGCCATTTATGAGGTGTGTTTTAACCGGGGAATGAATGATGATGTTAAATAAAGTAAAAGGTAGGTCACTCTTGTTTGTTTTTTAGGGTTTGGTTTTTACACGGCTGGGGCTGCACCAAAACATCAAGCAGTCCTTTTAGGATGTATTATTAGTTACTTTTTCAGATTGTGCCCAAATACCATTCTAAACATCGGCATAGTCATTTATTATAAAAAAAAAAACAAAAGAAAAAAAAAGATTCGAGTTTTAAGAACTAGTGTAGATATGATCAATCTATGGTCTATTAAAACAAACAATTTAAATTAGTTTGAGATAGCAATCAAGATGGAACACTTAGGTGTGGTTCTAATAAGTGATAAGATGAGAGAAAATAGACTTAGGTGGGCTGGTCATATGCAGCACAGACTTAGTACATGAAGTATGGGCTTGTTTAAGTGGAAGGCTAAAAAAAGGTAAGGGACATGACCAAAAGAACATGGTTAGAAGTAGTGAAAAAAAATATAGAGATTTACGACCTCACTGACGGTATAACCTTGATAGAGTAAAATGGTAGATTATGATTCATGTAGCCAACCCTAAATAATTGAAAAAATGCTTCGACCATGATGATGATGAATCAATATAAAACACTTCTATGGTGTAAATCTTTTTCCTTTCATTTTTCTACGAGAGCTTGGTCTTTGAGGTTAATGGAGTGGAACAACGTTGACGGATTTGGACTTGGTTCTAGCTAGTTTTTGTGCGCCTAGGCTGGCATGAAACACTTTTCCTTATTTTTGATAAAATTTAAGGATCCAATGGTGGGGCTAAACACAATGATGCATGTGTTTATCCAAATTTACGGCTGGGGCATTCCCTTTCCTTATTTAAACATAGAAGGTAGAGATGAACAGCTATAGCTTGAGCGTTGTAACGTTCGATTTATGGTTCATCTCTCCAATTTGTATTGGAATAAATTAATAAAGGGCCTTGGAGATGGGTTAGCAAATGAGATCGGTGCTATTCTTTTCTTTCGATTGTACAAGGACAATCCCACAAACTCATTCAGTTCATAGCCTTTGGAACCTGTCTGGATAAAACGCCACCAAATAGGCTGGCAATGGGATGGGATGGGCTGGGCTGGGCTGACTAGGAGGGTTGGGCTAGGGCTAATGCCGGCTCGGCCAGCCCCCTATTTTCTTGTATTTTCTTTTATTTTTTCTCCATTTGTTTTTGCCTTGGCCTAGCTTAGTTCTAGGCCGGCATTATGGGGACAAAGACCCGACTTAGCAAGGCCGGTCCTTTACCACCCTTACCAAATAATGGTTATTTGTATGCATAGTAAAAAGGAAATCTATTTCTCACTTATTATATTGTGATAAGTGTATGAATATCGCTAGGGGCCAGTCCAACAAACTCGTCCTAATGTAGTGAACGAGGGTTGGAATAGGCTGGGTTGGCCGAGGTTGGGGCCATACCAACCTTGCCCCTAGCCTAGCCCTAGTCCTCATAGGGCGAGTCCAGGCATGCCGGGTTGTGCTAACCAGGCCAGGCTGCGCCTGCCCTAAGAAATTATACAGGTGTGATGCTTTCCTCGGATCCATGTTCAACACAAATTCATGACAGGGCATGTTTGTCATTAAGAAGTTTTGGTTTTAGAAGCCGATCCTCCAAACACAAGGCTTTCAAAACGGTTTAAAAAAAAAATGGAACTTGCAGTCTCATATCTCCATGGAAGCAATGAGACTCGAAGTTCAGCTTCCATAATCAAAACTTACACAGGAAACAAACACGCCCGTCACTCCACGACTTTTATGCTGCATGCACTGGTGCGTTTTGCGAGATTTTCACGTCATATGAGGGCATTTTAGTTATTTATCAGGGGCAAACACTGAAATTTATGTATATGATCTCCCTTTCAAGGCCACTATCCCATCTGAAGGGTAGTCCTGTAATTCAAGGAAAATGTAACAGCTGTTAGGGTAAAATCGCCCACCAACAGCAGTAAACCCACTTTCCGACCAGTGGCATTTCCGTCATTTATACCCTTCTTATTCTTGCAATAACGCATAAATGTCAGTGGCGTTGCGGTCATTGTGCCAGTGGCCTCTAACCAGTTCACTGCAACTCCCGCTCATTTACCCTCCTTGCCCTTTCTCTCTCTTCACTCTTTCTCTCTCTTTCCATATTTCTACCCCTCTCTCTCTCTAAATCCTGCAGATCTAACCTCCCCGTTATCCCTCACCAAACACCCCATCCTCTTCTCTCTCTCTTTCTCTCTCTTCTCTCTCACCTCGGGCCACTGTGTTTCCCTTACCAAACTCTCTCTCACTAACCTCCTCTTTCTGGGGAAAACCCTCTTTCTCTCTCTAGCCCTACCCTCTTACCCTCCGTCACATCTTTCTCTCTATACATTTTCTAGGATTCTCTCTCTACACACTATAACTTCCTTTTAACTCCCCCAGTCTCTCTGTCTTCGTCTCTCTCTCTCTCTAGGAGTGTTTCACATCCCTCTCAACGCTCTTTACTGTCTAACCCTCCCCTTCTCTCTCTACACTCTCTAGCCCTCACTTTCCTGTCCTCTCCACTCCTCTCTTTTCCGTCTACATTCTCTCTCTAGCTTTCCCAAATCCCCACTTTCTCTCTCTCTCTCTCTAGGCTTCCATGGAGGAGGCGCTGGAGATGGCGCAGGCGAAGGATACGAAGGAGCGGATGGCAGGGGTGGAGCTCCTCCAGCAGCATCTCGAGAACTGCCGGAAGCCCCTGCCAGCGGCACAAGTGACCCAATTGGTGGACTGCTGCATGGATCTGCTCAAAGACAACAACTTTAGGGTTTCCCAGGGCGCACTCCAGGCCCTCACCTCCGCTGCTGTCCTCTCGGGCGAACATTTGAAGCTCCATTTCAATGCCCTCCTGCCGGCAGCCGTCGAGAGACTTGGTGATGCAAAGCAGCCTGTAAGGGATGCAGCTCGCCGCCTCCTCATTGCTCTTATGCAGGTGGATTGATTACCTTCCCCCCCCCCCCCTTCTCTCTCTTTCTCTCCCACTTTCTCTGCTTCATTAAACTGAATTTTTGTTCCTCTCTCTTTTACTTGATTTCGTTCTCTATATTTGAATGTGGTCTCTCTCACCATCTATCCATCCTGTCACCTTCCAATCTACCCATGGAGGGGTGGTACCTTCCAAATATTTCATACCTCGTTCTTCGTTATTCTTTCTTTTCGATTAGGTGGTTCCTCTCTCTCTCTCTTTGAATGTTTAATCTTTCTTTCCTATTTTTACTACTTGTTTCTCTGTTTCTCTTTCGTACTGCTGCTCTTCATCACTCTAGTAGAGGTGTGGATCCTGGCTGGTTTTTTATATTACATTCTTCTCCCCTTTACTGTGTTCTCCGATTTTTTTCTCTTCTCTCAGATTCATCTGTTTTACTACTTCCTGATCTCTTCGGGGCCTTTCATTCTTGAAAGTTTTGTGCATTTGTTGTTCATAGTATCCTTAGTTGAAGTGAATTCCGGAGAGGAGTCAATTTTGACATGTGATATTGCGGATTTTCGCAATTCTGTTTGAGTTTTTCATTTTCACACTGACTATTGTAGCTGGGTTAAGTTATTCTTATTTCTTTTTACTCAGTTGTTATTCTCATTCCTTTTTACTCAGTTGTATTCGTTGGATTCAAAACTTAGTTCTCATAATAAGTGGGTTTAGGGTTCCATCTCTCTGGCCTAACAATGCTTCGTTGTAATGAATTGTATTTGAAGTTCTGAGCTCTCTCAGGTACTCTTCCTCGCTCTCTACCAATTCAAGGCGAATTGCACAAAGGAGTAGATGACAATTGTTTTTTAGTCTCTTTTATAGGGATTGTGCTCATGCTTTCTCATTATTCATTGGATAATTGTGTTGTCTTTTCAAGATCCAGTTACTCACCATGGCTTTACGGAATTTGGTGCCAATATGAATTATTTTATTACTTCGTCATTATATTTAGTTCATTGATTGAATCTGGTCTGTGTTTCTTGTCTTATTCCACTTAGTAATAATGGAGTTAGGTCAATACATAAGATTATTTAAGCTGCTTTATCTCTTGCCTTTTGGGTTCCAGTCGCTCTCACCTAATGGTTGGTGTGGATATACAGAATTTAGCTCCTTTTTGGCTGATTCTGTTATGTACATTTTGCCTTGCCGTCTTCTCTCTGATTATGGGAGTTAGGTCAGGTATTCTTTCTTTACAATGTTTTTATTGAAATGTTTACCTTTTCCCTAAAGAATTGTCCTCATTGAAACTTTACTTCTCTTAGTATGTGACTTAGAAATTTATGTGAGTTCAGGAGATTCAAGTTCTATCTCTATATACCTTCACACATCAGGGTGCAGATTCTTTTCTTTATGGATTTGGATACAGGCTTTCTAGCTTATTCCAGTCTTTTTGTGTATGCAAATGTCTTTCTTCTTTTCTCTTACCCAGAACTTTTGTTTTTGGACAGGGATTTGAGTTCACATCCATATTATTATGATTTGAAAGGCTGCCCTTTTCCTTTTAATGATTTAAATTGCTACATGTTAAATTAGGTATCTTCACCCACAATCATTGTTGAAAGAGCTGGGAGTTATGGTTGGACTCATAAGAGTTGGAGGGTTCGTGAAGAATTTGCACGGACAGTCTCATCCGCAATCCATCTTTTTGCAGCAACTGAGCTTCCATTTCAACGGGTTTTACTTGCTCCAGTATGGCTCCCCATCATGCACTGAATGTTTTCCATTTGAGGATTTTTATTATGTATTGGAGAAATTAGCTATATGTGACAATTATTGATCTCATTCATTCTGATATGCATGAAAAGATGTTTATATATTGAACTCGGTTTCCTATTGTAGGTGCTGCAATTGTTGAATGACTCAAATAATACTGTGAGAGAAGCAGCTGCATCATGTATTGAGGTTGGTGGTTTAATAATACAATCTTTTGGACTGTACTCGAGTGATCTTCCATTTTTAACCCAATTATGAAACCATAGACACAAATATGCATGCAAGTTTCATTTGTATAGGCATGTGTTAATAATACATACATCTAGGGCGCTGACTAGGTGATTAGGCTTCTGCTTTGCATGCTGAGGTGTTATATGCCTTTTTTATTAAAAGAAAGCACAACTAAAAAATAGTTATCAATGTGAGAGTTCTTCAATTGCAGTTTCGTAGTGTACAGCATGCGTATGAAACTGAACTAAGTCGGGATTCACCTGGAGTGGCTTCATTTAAGTCTGGGTTCACCTAAATTGCATCTAGGCAGCTGCCAAGGCTACTAGGCTTGTGCTTTTGCATGATTGCCTTTTTAAGAGAAATCGCATTAAACAAAATAGCTATCAATAGAAATTGCTTGTGAGAGTCCTTCAAATGTAGTTGCATAGGGTACATATTGCTGGGAATGAGCACTACTTGGATGTTGATAAAATGGATTGTGTCATTGAATGAACGTTTTTTTTGTTCCCTCCAGGAGATGTATATGCAGGTGGGACCACAATTTCGTGATGAATTGCAGCGGCATCATCTTCCATCCTCAATGGTAAGTGCCAAAGTGTTTTCTAGTTGTACACCACAATCTATGTATTTGACAGTTAGTTACATTTGGAGCTTTTTATAAATCTGAGCACTACTTATGTTGAACTGAGCTAACTTAACCAAACTACAGAACTGCATGTAGGAAGAGCAATTATGCATGGGTTGTACTTCATGACTCCTTAAATAGTTGTTATTGCAAATATCCAGGTGAAAGAGATAAATGCCAGACTGGAGAAGCTAGAACCTAAGGTTCGTGCGTCGGATGGGCGTACAACGCAATTTGGTTCTGCTGAAATGAAGCCTGCAGTTGTTCCTACATTTAGCCAGAAAAAAAGCAGTCCGAAAACCAAGAGTGTTGCACGTGAAACATCTGTCTTTGGAGGTTGGTGATGTAGGTTATGTTTTTGTGTTGAGTATCGTGTTGAGTAGACCTTGCTATTGGATATCCCATGTTCATTAAGTTGATTTCTTATTATTATTTTGCAGATGAGCATAGTTCCAAGAGTTTGTTTACTTATTTATCATTCTTTTTGAAGCAAAATTTATTTACATATCATGACCTACATTCGTCATAACTTCATATTTTACTCAATAATACAATCAAACCTTGACAGTATCACTCATCTTTTTTTTTTTTTTTTAAATTTATTTTTTATTTGAATTTGCTCAGATTTCAGTTACTTTTGGGGTTAAGTTCCTTTTGTTCAGTTATTAATGTTGAAAGGAATTAGTTACTTTGAAGTTGAGTTTGGAATAATGTATTGAGGACTGTGAGAAAGAGAAGGCAAAGATGGCATCAGAAAAACAGAAAGGTAAGATTACTCAAAAAAATAAAGAAAAGAAAGCAATAGATGTTTCTTATGCCAGAAGAAATCTCAGGAAACTGTAACTTTTGTTTTTATTAGTTGATGGTATCCTCTTACTTCGACATGATTTTTATTACCTACATAACTTGTTTCCAGTGAAAATTCATTGGCAGAGGAGGTAAAGACTATATCCCCAAAAGATGGTGGCCATAGACGTTGACAAATCCTTATCGTTACCAATATACTTCTCAACTCTCGGTTTGAACCCATTTAAAGAATAAAAGAATTATAGGAAAACAGAAAGCATGATACTAGCTTCAGCCACTTAAGCATCTTTGTGTATGGGTCTAGGCTTTAGAAACTTCAACTTGCTTGCCTTGTTTGTTTCGGGAATTCACTATTTGATGGAGGGACCTCATACAAGAGCTACAACTTGAGCATTGTCGTGAGCAGGGTAGGCAGCTTGACATCCCATATGTCTTGATGTTTGACCTTAAGATGGTCCAATGGTATTTTTTTGTAGCTGTCATTGTCACTCTTTCTTAGAGGGAGGGTTTTTCCTTGAACATATTGATAAGTGGATGCATGAAGTGGGGACGATATTTACCAATATCTTTCTAGTTCCTATGTTAAATTTTTAATTGGTCATGGTAGTACATCTATTTTGAGAAGCTATGGAGAGAGTTGTAGGAGGTTTCTTATATTTTTTCTTCATACTAAGGTGGAGATAAATTGGTGAATGAAAGGAAATTACATGTTAAAAAGATTTACCTGGATATATGATAAGGCTATACCAAATGAACTGAGAAATCCTTTATCAACCTCTAGTACAGGTCCTAGAATGGTGAAGGCTGTAGCTAAGGAGATTGGTCTGTGTTGTACTGATTAGTACCAAATGCATCTATTTTTATTACTTTGGTTTAATTGTAGAAGCTAGGTTCTGGTAGGAGGTCATGCTGTTTTCCTCAATTTTTGAGTTCTAGGTGGCTTTTTGAAAATCTAGATGCCATGATTAGACTAAATATAAAAGTCTTGTGAAATAAGATGAAGTATAATAGGTTGGCCTCATGTACAATAATGGAAAGAAAAAACACTAAAAAGGGGCTTGTATATCATGTTGCATAGAAAAAAGAAACAATTCTAGTCAATCCATCCGTTATCTCTTCAGTTTCTTTGGTTCTGTCTCGGAAGGAAGTCTCTTTGGGGAGTGATGCTTGTAGCCTTCGTTCATGATTTTGATACAGGCTGCCATTGTGCTATGGTTAATGCGCCTGCACTCACTCTTGCTTCATTTCTGCAACCAGTGTTACTAGTTTCGTAAACTATATTGGACAATGCTCGTGTATATTGTCTCTGAAAATGTTGTGAAGTTGATCTTGGAGAAGGATTTTGACTGTATAAACTTGTACTTGGTGAGGTTATTTTGTAGCACTAGGAATTGGCCTTCTGGGATAGATAAAGGAAAGTGGGCGGTAGATGTCAATAGTTTGGTAAATTTTCAGAGTTGAAGCTGTATTGATAGCAGTTAGTTTTGATGACGTTTGTTTTGGGGTTGTTTCTTCTTATGCTTGATGAAATCATGCATCATATAGTATATCATTATCTATGAGAGTAGTTAATGGTCAAGTTGCATGAGATATGGAGCAACATTTTGGTGAGTGAATGGGTATTAATTATTAGTTCTCTTGGGAATTTAGGTGGGTACTTTAGCGCCAATATATTTGGTGAAAGCGTTGAGTTTTTTGAACTGGCACGAGTTTGTCTGTTTCTTCAGGATTGTATGTCGCATGGCCAAATAATCAGTTTGGGCTGGTGATGCTTCGCATAGAGTCTAGAAGTGTGTTTTTTCTGGAGTTCATGCAATGGGAAATGTCTAAGTTGAGCCATATCAGCGGTTCTTTCTTCTGGATGGGTGTTCTTAGAAGCTTCTTTTGCATTTGAGTTCATGTTCTAGTGGATTTGAATGGACCTTGCATCGTTTTTTGGTTCTTAATGGAGCTTCCAATGATAAGTATGAATTCGAGATAGGCAGTTGTGACATTTTTGGTCTGCTAGGAAAGGAACCCTTTGTTGCACTAGATTGGTGGAATGCTTAAAGAGTGTCTTTCATGTGTATAAGTGATTATTGGTTTTCCTTCAAGTGGAGTTTAAAGAGAAGATTGCAAGCTTAGGTTCTTAATGTGTTTTATGTTTCAGTTAATTAAAAAAAAAAGAGTTTCAAATGTTCAAATAATGGAGGCTAAGTTGGATATGATGGAGTGTGATGCATTTGGCTTGGTTTTAAAAGGGAAACTTGGATGATATTGTGAGTACTTGAAAGAGTGGCTGAATTGATATGGGTGGTGTGTATTTCTGCTTGTATATTCCACTTCGTAGGTAGCAGAAGAGGGCTGGGGGTTGTTGGGTACTGTCAATTTCTTGGTTGTGAAGTAGGAGTTTTTTTATTCTATTGAAAGTGGAGGTGTTATTCGTTGAGTAGCTCTATAAAATCGAGAGCTGCTAGTAACCTTGAATGCTTTTCCCTCATTGAGTGTAGATGTTGTAGGGTTTGTTGGATGCTAATTTTACTTTGCTACGGAAGGCCTTGTCTCCAATCATCCAATTTCTATTTCTCCCTGAGTGTTTCGAGATGGTTAATGGAACTCTTTATGTGTTTAATATGCATCATAGGATAATTCTCCAAAAAAAAAAAAAATGCATCATAGGATGATCTTGGGTTTATGTTCTTGGTAGACTTAAAGTTTATACCCATTGTGGAAGGGATAACAATGCTGGGATTTGCAGTGGTTGAACATGCTGAACAAGGTGATGCTATAATGTGCATGATAAAAGGATCTTTTGTTGTATTCAATAAATGACGTGGGCCTTTTAGTGCTTGGGATGTGTTGCCAGAAGCTACTGCTTACACTACCGAGCTCAAGTGAATTATATATGGTTTCTGATATGGAAGTGTGGGCAATACATCTTAATGCTCTGGACTGCCTAACTCTTCTTATGAAATGTTGGCAGTCCAATGTTAACAACAGCAGCTAATCTAAAATAAAAATGAGCAACAGTGCGCACTTTATGACCTATGAGAACATAGCTCTATTAAGAGTTCTCCAATGCACTGAGTATTATTTTAACAATGTTAATAAAAGGTCTTGACTGTATCTGGGCTCTTTATTAAGGTGAAAAAACTTTGATCCTTCAGTTCAGGAATGGTTATGAACTGAAATCTCTGCTAAAGTTTATTTCATTGGTTCTTGAATTTATTCATTTCAAATGATTCTTTATTTTCAACAATTAATTGTTATATAAAGGAAAAAAGTAATGATCCTTGCAATGCCTTTCTGTCTAAATAATTGTGAAATAGTGTTTTCTTATACACATGAGTACATTTGCTGATATAATTTCCAATATGACTGTCTTCAGTCTCTCTCGGTTCTGCATTTATGTGAAATATACTGGTTTATGGAACACATTTTAACAATGGTTACCAACTGCAATGGTTGTGAGACTTGAGTCCTAGGATTTTTTTTTGTTAATGGCCCCGGTTAATAATCCTTTCAACTTCATTTGAAACTCCTTTTTTTTTGTTTCCCTTTTACTTTCATATATTGTTTGACTCAGTCCTTCTAATCCATTGAAAATCTAGCACTTCTAGTCCTCTTTGGTTGCCAACTGCCTTCCATATTCATATTACTTACCAATTATTTATTAATGTGACACATTTCATAGGAAAAATAAAAAAACAAATGAATCTGACACATCTCATGATTGAGCTGTCACCAGATTGTGTAGGTGAAAGTGAATCTGACACATCTCGTGATTGTGCTGTCGCCTGATTGTGTAGGTGAGAGTGATGTTGCAGAGAGACCTATGGACCCAGTAAAAGTGTATTCTGAGAAGGAATTGGTTAGAGAATTTGAGAAGATTGCTTCCACACTTGTACCAGAACAAGATTGGTCAGTCAGGATAGCTGCCATGCAGAGAGTTGAAGGCCTTGTTTTTGGAGGTTTCCATCTTCTCTTGACTTTGCATTTTTCTCCTGTGATTCTCTAGCTTTATCAAGATATTAAGATATCCTTATATTTTAGTTATTCAAATGAAAATTGAGAAAAGCTTTCTGCTGAGTTACTTTTATTTCATTTATCCAAAGAATAATTATTAAAAAATGTCCTTAATTCTTGGATTATTGGACCTATTGTTGGCAAACTTCTAGAACTAAACAGAAAAATGCCATAGTAATAATTTATTTTGTGTTATTTATTTTGGATAGTGGGATACTATTGTGGATTGTGAAGAAACTTGATTTCTATAGAAAATATTTAAAGATTGAAAAATACAAAACTCATCCAAAACAACAGAAAGCATTCTAGATTGAACTAAATAAGAAAAGGTCTAACAACGTGGCCAAATAATTTGCCTGTTTTATTAGCTCACTGTAGTTTGGTTTGGTGTTATCATTACATCTGATGCTCCTGAAATTGCTTATTCTTATAATCCTTTATACTCACTTTCAGGTGCCACAGACTATCCATCTTTCACTACGTTGTTGAAGCAGTTGGTCGGTCCCTTGAGCATTCAGCTTTCAGATCGACGTTCAAGCATTGTGAAACAGGTTTTTGGGTTTTCTCAAATTTTCTATATTTAAGAGTTTTGAAAGAATCTCTTGTACTCTAGTTTTTAGTTTTAGTTCCTCTAAATATTCTGTAGGCAGTACTTGTAAAAAATTGTTGTTATAAAAAGGTTACTTTAACCAAAAAAAAGAAAAGAGAAGTGTTTTCGACGGATATAATTAATATGAAGTCATGTCTGTACCTGAAGTAATTGATCTTGATTCTGCATTGTAATTGAGCTCTATTTTGTGACAAAGAAGAAGAGAATTACAATCTTTTGTTCCTTTTCCAAGTCATTTTACATCAGCTGCTCCAATAGAAAACTGCTTAAACTAAATGGGCGAGCACATATGAAACATCTTCAATTGATTATCGCTTTCTTTTGTATTCATCATGGACTGAGAGATTTGAAGGCACAAAAGGGCCTTACATTTTCCTTGTTTTCTCTTGTATCCTATGACGTTCTTTTAGGGATTGGAATGATGATTCTCATCGAACAAAATTACTGTCCCTCTCATTAGATGTTCCATTCTTTGGAAAGGAGTTATAGACTTGCAGATAAATTTTCTTTGGTCATTTTAGATAGTATATTCAATGTATTTTTGAATTTACATTAATTGTTAATAATATTATTTGAATTGGGGGATAACCTTGGATATTCCATTATTTGAAGTCCATGGGAAAACTTATGGGTTTTATTTCTCATTCCTCAGGACATTCTTTCAACCTAATTTACTGATAGGTGACCTATTAATTTGCTGAAGATATTGTATTTGATCCTTTGATAAGGTTTTATTTGGTAAAGCCTTTTAAGAATCCATTCTGGCAGAGTTTGCATGAGATGGTGTTGGCTGTCAGCTGTATTGGTTTGCCAACACCAAATCAATTCATGCTCTCATTCCAAGAGCCATTAAAAAGCAGTATTTTGCATTGTTTCTAAAAAGTTGTCCCTGTGCTCCTTTTTTGTTTAAAGAGCTTGGTCCCTCTCCCTTTTTTGTCTTTTGTACAGAGCATAATACCGCACTAACGTTTATCCATTAGGGCCATAACCCTTGTCATTGAGTGCCTCTCCCATATGAAGCATAAGCTTCTTAGAGTCAGCTGTTCCTCTGGTGGTTGCTATGAGGTTCCAAAGAAACCTTGAACCTTGTTCTGATACACAGCAAAAGACTAGGATGTCCCAGCAGATGTGCATGTATTCATTCACTTCCCCATAATCTGAATGGCATGTAAATAGTTGACAAAATTTTTAAAATTATTAGTGTTTATTATATCGGAAATGAATATCATCATCATCATCATAGCCTTTTCCCAATTAATTGAAGTATATCGGAAATGAATATGTTTTTTATTTTTGTTATCCTTACATTTTTTGGAACTACACCCACTTTAAGCAACTCATCTTCTACAGCACCCTCTTTCTTGGAGAAATGGTTCAAAATGTAACTTATGGCTGTGTTTTTTAATAATGTGATTGTGTAAACCAGCATCCAACTTTGCATAATGTAACCCATTGAAACTTCAATTCTCTCTTTAAATGTCCTTCATTATTGGAGAAGTGCAAAATTTAAGCATGGGTGTGGTTAGTAATAACAAGGGTGCGAAAACCAGCGTTGATTTGTGCATAGTATGACCTATTGAAAGTATGATTTGCTTTTTAAATGGTCGCATTGAAGCATGAATATTTTTTCAACAATAGCATTTCCTTGCAAACATGAGTATTTAATCATCATCATCATCGTTATCATCATCATCATCATCATCATCATCCGAGTGTTATCTTAACTATTTGGGGTCAGCTACACGAATCGTGTTCCACCGTTCTGGTCTATCAAGGGCCATACCTCAATTAGACCATAACTGACTAATCACTTCTCACTATTTCCATCCATATCTTTTTTGGGGCTTTCAATTAGTGGAGCGGAAGAAAGGAGATTCAATAGATTCACGGTAACTTCCTTTCTCAAGAAAAGAAGTCATGCATACCCTTAGCCCCCTTGCCCTTTTAGAGTCTTCCACTTAAACAAAATCACCCCTCCTAACCAATGTTATACGAGGTTGATGATACACATGGTCAGACCGCCTAAGCCTACTTTACCTCATTTGACTTACCCCGAAGTTCCCTTGGATGTATTCGTTCCAAATTCTATTCTTTATTGGCTCGCTATCCATCCATCTCAACATCCTCATCTCGGTCACACTCATTCTATGGATATGTTGTCCGGTGACAGCCCAACATTCCGTCCTATAAAACATAGCTGGTCTTACAGCTGTCCTATAGAACTTCCCCTTCGGTTTAATCGGTATGCGACAATCACACAAGACTCCACAAGCACATAAACTTGAGTATTTAATATTGTTTGTATATTATCATTTTGTCTTCAATAAAATGCTTTTTTCTTGAAAGAACACTTTATATATTGTTCGCTCGGTACAAAGCTTGAGTTCCTGACTATGGTTAAGATGGCTGCATTGTCATTCCTTTTTAGGCTTGCCATTTGTTATGCTTATTATCAAAGGAGCTTTTGGGAGATTTTGAGGCTTGCGCGGAGGTGTTTATCCCGGTAATTATGCTACAAATCTTATCATCTTACTCTCTTTACATATGCAGATTTATTCATGTGCCACCCCACCTCTTGATAAATTATGCAGGTGCTTTTTAAGCTTGTTGTGATAACAGTACTTGTAATTGCGGAGTCTGCAGACAATTGCATTAAAACGGTACATATCAAGTAGAACATATCATTATAGTGACGCTGTTTTTTCCAGATGACACTTTTTGACATTCTCTTTGCCTTTCAGATGTTGCGTAATTGTAAAGTTGCACGTGTACTTCCACGAATTGCTGATTTTGCGAAGCATGACCGAAGTGCAGTCCTCCGTGCCAGGTGTGACTCTGTCTTTTGACTCAAACATACATCAGATATTGAACCATGCATCAACTGGTGCTTCTGTTTACTTTTTCAGGTGCTGTGAATATGCACTATTAATTCTTGAATACTGGGCTGACGCACCTGAAATACAGCGGTCAGCTGACCTTTATGAAGATCTTATAAAATGTTGTGTTGCAGATGCTATGAGTGAGGTATAACTTAGCGATTTTCTTTATATCTTGTTGTCTATGAACATGTGTTAATTTTCAAATTCAAATGATAGTGGGCTGCTAACTAGACTTAATCGCGAATGATGTTGGGGATACTTTTAAACCAGATTCAATGGACGGTCTGCAATTATTCTCTGTTGATTGTTTTCATGAATCGATAACTATGGAATGTGCAGTGCATTCATTTAGAGGTGTATATAGGCTTACCATGTTCATGACTATGGTACTTTTTAATATGTGATGAGCTCTGCAGTGGAATTAAGTCATTTTGTTTGTCCTATGTTACTTTATCTTGTTAATCGGCCTTGTACTCTTACATGATTGTGTTGTGTTCTATAAGGGGTCGAATATTTTTTAGTTTTTATCCATAGTTATCAAATGAAAAATAGAAACCTAGTTTTCTTTTGTTTTGTTTTTCTATATAGCTGATTTAATGTTGTTTTCTCTCCCCTATATATTGTTTGTGCAACATGCATGTTATATGCTTTGTGAAGATGGAAGAAAGAGGGCCTTATAAGATGTGTACTTGAGAGAGAGAGGTTTAATGAAATATTTTTTTTTTTTTTTTGAGAATGTTCACTTGGAGTGATAAAAGAGAAGGTACACAAAAAATGATGCGCCCCTTGAGAAGAAGGCACCGTATACAAGAACCCCAAAGGGGCCAAAAAATGCTATACAGCAGTCACGAAATGTACAACGCTGAGAAAATGTGAGAGTGGGGAGCACAAAATGCCTAGGTCCCTGGCCTGAGATTTGAATGGGCTCCCTCCCTAGCCAAAGTATCAGCTGCAGAGTGGCCTTCCCTGTAGATGTAGTTCCATGAAACTCGAAGATTCCTGCAAATATGCGATACCTTGTCGAAGGTTTGGTCACGTCTCCAAGGGCAGGAGGTGGGGTTGGAGGCCTAAACAATCAGGTTCTTAGGATCCCCGTCGACCACTAGCTCTGGACTCCAAGTGGGGTTAAACTTGTGAAGGCCCTCCAGAAGGGAAAGGGCCCCGGCAAGAGTCGAGTTAGCTATGCCTATTGGTCCTGAGTAAGATAATAATGTGCTACCATCATTAGTCCTAAAGAGGTCCCGTATGCCAGAGGGACCAGGGTTGCCAACAGAGCAACCGTCGAAGTTCAACTTGGTATAGCCCTCTTCAGGTGGTTTTCAAATAGAGGATCATGGGATCCTTGTGGTTTTCAAAACACCAATAGTTATGAATGTTTGAGAAGGATTAACCCTTAAAAAACTTGTGATTCCAAATGTCTAGCATTATCTATCATGGTGGCGACTGAGTTTCTCTGGCCTTTGAAGGTCATGTGGTTTCTTTCAATCCAAAGTACCCAAATTGAGGCAACCATTGAGATTTTCCAAGGGAGTGGACCTGCCTTGAGCCAAGGAGTTGAGAGGAAGGCCTCAAACAGAAGAGGAACCAATCGAGGAGTCACCCAAGTCCACTATAAAAGTTGCACTAGGTCGGTCCATAAGGCTGTGGGCTATACCAATCGAGGAATGGCAACAATGGTGGGTTGCCTTGGCGAAGGACTCTGGGGGCCGAGAAGAATCCTTTGGGGGATCCATTAATCAAATACTAAGCAAAGAGGATTTGAGATACACCTTTGGATCCATTTCCTCCATTTTGATCCAAAGGCCATCCTGCTCATAGTCTCATCAAGATTCGACCAATCGACGCGGTTGTAAGCTTTCTCCTAGTCCAGTTTTATAACTTGGCCGGGGACCTTGGAGGTTTGTCTTGTGTGGATGCACTCATGGGCAATGAGTGCCCCATCTAAAATTTGGCAGTCTTTGACAAAAGCCCCTTGAGGACAGCCCTAAGTCTCGAAGGCAACAGAGCATTTTGTAAGAACTATTGACTAAAGTCTATAAGTTCCTTTGCCCCTTCAATCATCGGAATAAGAGCGATGAACGTGAGGTTCATGGCTCTGTTTATTACTCTAGAGTGAACTTGGTGAAAAACTCGAGAATGTTAGGATGGAGAGTGTCCTAGAAGGTCTTAAGCAAAGCCATGGGGTAGCTGTTTGAACCTAATGCTCGGTCGGGGCTCATGTTGTTGATGGCACTGAGGATTTCCTCTTCCATGAAGGGGCGTTCCAAGCAGCTAGATTTATTAGGGAGAAGGGTGACGAAAGAAAGGTCTTCCATAGTTGGTCTCATTCCTGTCGGGGCTTAAAAGAGCTGAGCAAAGAAATGGACAGTAGCCTGTTCGATAAGCACAGGTTGGTCGAGGATGAAGTTTCACCTTTAGGTGGGAAATGGAGTTTTCATGCCTCCAACAGTTTGCGATCTATGGAAGTAACCTGTATTTAACTTTTGAGCGATTTAACTTTTTGAGCGATCTTATGGAAGTCTCCAAGTTTGAGCAATTTAACATTTGCCCTTTGGGACCAATAGATTTCGTCCTTGCGAAGGCTAAGGTGGTAATCCTACTTAGGATCGAAGGTCCAATTCAGCCAGAAGTAGGGATCTCGCCTCCTCGGTGTCATCCCAATGTTGAGTGATTTGGAGAAGGGCAGCAAAGATTACTCGGAAGTTGGGAGCTCCAAGCCTTCACAGAGGATTTTTGGATCTATAATTTCGGTTGAAAGCGAAAACCAGCCCGGCCATGGACCATGGATGAGTAGGATCCCCACCATGATTGCACCAAATTGGAGAAATTAGGTTCTTCAAGCCAGGATAGCTCGAAACGGAAACTCTTGGGGCCTTTAGTGACAGCTAGGGTGTCAAGAAGAATTGGGCAGTGGTATGATGTGGCTTTGGGGAAGGCAGAAAAATTGGTGCTCGGGAAGCGTTGGTCCCATTACAAGGAAATGAGAAAGCGAATGATTTTGGGGAGGGATGGGTTATTGGAGTGGTTTGAACACATAAACTGCGCCCCTTCAAGAGGGATGCCTATGAGTAGGTTTCGGGATATGAAGTTGGAGAAAAGGGCTATGGCAAGAGCGATTGAATGGTTAGTGTTTGCGATCCTATGACCACCGGGTACCATTGAAGTCCCCTCCAAAGCACCACATAGAGGGAGATGGTAGTGCATTTCCACTGCAGACCATCAGACAGTCTAGAGAGGTAGATGGTGATCGAGAATTGGCCAATCCAGAAGTTTAGCAGAGAGTGAAGTGTGGGTCCCAAAGGAATTAGATGCTCCCTGAGGCACGATAAGATTCTAGAGCGATCCAGCTGCAGCGCCTTAAGACCCATGAGATTCTAGGGCACCATGATATTCCAAATAAGCGGAAGGGTTGGGGTTAGGAGTTTGGTTTCCATCAAGGCTTAGAAGAGCCTGGATTGCTGTCTGGCCGAAATAGACAAATCGACACTAGAACAAAGCTTGGAATCCACTGGGGGTCCCTTGTCATAATTGACTCTGAATGCAAGGTTGGAAAGCTCACGTTTACCCTTGTTCTTGACTTTGTCTTGGGGTTTCGCTCCGGTTGCAATGAACTCGAACTCCTCCAGAATCGCTTTTGGGCCGTTGAATCTGAACCCCATAATCTTGAGGACTTTGTGTATGTTTCCTTGAGCTTTATCCATATTTTGGACAAAGTCAGAGTCCACTGAAGATTGAGAATCGATCAGGGCTGTCTAAGGGGTCCCAGGAAGAGATGGGGTGTTCCAGAGATAGGGTTGGGCTATTGCATGGTAGCGGAATGGGATTCTGGGGTCGGCATAACCTCGGAAAGAAGGCCAGCCCTTGGGTCTGGGGGGTAGGGGAGAGATGAGGAGAGGGTTGAGGCCGATTGGGGATGGGGATGAGTACGGATAGGGAGACGATAGGGGAAGGGGGAGGGGGGGGAGCAAGGGAAAAGAAGAGTAGGGGGAGGAAGAGATATGGGTGAAAGCCTGCTGGGGTAGAGGGCTATTCGAGGCTAAAGTGACTACCTTTGGCGAAGGCAGCGAAGAGGAGGTAGTTTCAGGGGAGCGGGGAGGTGGGGAACTTGGTGTATCTCCTCCTGACACGACGGATACAGGAGCAGAGATACAAGGAGGCACAGGTTAGCATGGGCTGGGGATGGGCTTGGATGTTGGCACATGCATGCGGAGGGGGCGCAAGCTGGGCCGTGTGATCCAAGTCGCAAGATCTGGGCTTAGGATGGGTCTGAGGATTTTGGTTAGCCCTACGATTCTGGGGTCGACGAAGTCGATTGCTCCAAGATGGGAGCTTGCGAGATACTGAAGTCCAATCATGGTGGAGCATAGAGTCTAGGGTAGTGGTCCTGAGATTGTAGTCCAGTAACCGAGAGATCGTGGTCCTGTGAATGACGGGAGGAAGGAGAGGAAGCCAGAGACCAGGAGACAGCGGTGCGAAATAACATGCCATTTACCCCCAGCCAGAGGAGAGAGGGACTATGAGAGAGGAATGGGGTTTGAACCAGAAACTGAATGGTGCCCAAAGGCAGGGTCCTAGTGGATCTCCATTGGACAGAAATGAAAGTTCTGTTGGCGTCTCCAATCCTCTTAAAGGTGTCGATGTTCCAGGCTTGGAGGGGAATGTGAGACACTCCGCATCAGATTTTCTGGGGTTTAGCAGCACCCATTTCTTTGTCCACCTACAGAGGATGAGAGCAACACCCTCGAAGCGACAATCTTGGTCCCCCAAAGCTTTAAGGAGTGATGCTTCAGAGGGGAAAGAGAAGAGGATATCATCTGAGGAGAGGTTCCTACAAGATAAATCAGGGGCATTCCAAGCTTCTGATACCCGCCGTTGGATACCTTTAACATCGTTACGTTTTGGGTAGAAGTGGCCCACTAGAGATAATTGCAGAACTTGCTCGAGGGAGGCGGAGTGGCTACCCTCCACTGGGATAACAAGAGTGACGAAGGGATGGTGGGAAGGAGAGAGGGGGGGAGGCTGAGCTAGAGAAGAAGGGACAAGTTTTGGATGCCTGCTGTGATGTCTGCTTGAGGGGCCTTTGAATGAATAAGGTGCACATAGTTTTTTGGAGGGGAGGGACGGAAGGGATGTTGGGCAAAGGTGGATGAGAACAAGAGGCAGGAATGGGAGAAGGGAGGTTGAGATGGGATTGGTGAGGAGGGGGAAGGCGCTGGAGAGCTCCATCAGACGGAGCCATTATTGAAGAAATTCTATTAAAAGTAAGGATTGATCTTATCCAAGTTAATGAGATATTAGTTTATTTTTATACAAATTGCTAAAGTTCTAACAATTATTAAAACAGGCACAAAACCAATAATGTTACACCATATACTAAATATTATCTATCTATATTGAAAAAAGACACATGGTTGGTCTTGGCTACCAAGCTGCAAGCTGGTTCTCTTTTCCATTCTCTCGGGCTTTTCCCTCATATGGAACTTGAGTTATAGTACAAAGATGATGAGGAAAAGGGAATAATGGGTATGAAGGGAGAATGCACGGGGGGATGTGGGAGATTCTATTGTGGAGTTCATTCAAGGAAATCTTTTGTGCCCGTTCTCCTTGTCTTTCCTTGTTCTTTCTTCGCCCTTATTGCCCTATTACAGGCTTCAGACGCAACATTAGATGATTTATTTTGTCTCCCCCCCCCTCTTCTAATTCTGAATATATAGTTTCTGTTCAATGATATGGTAAAATAGTAAGTATATGACTCAGTGGCTTACATATTTCTGTTAATGGCCCTTTTTATTCCTTTTGATATGGTAAAATAGTATGTATATGACTCAGTGGCTTTCATATTTCTGTTAATGTCCTTTTTTATGCCTTTCAATATGTTTGATGGACTACATTTGTTGCTTATTAACATTATGTATTTGTTCAGGTACGTTCAACTGCAAGAACCTGCTACAGGATGTTCACAAAAACTTGGCCTGAGCGTTCTCGACGCCTGTTTTTAAGCTTTGATCCTGTCATCCAGAGGGTACAGAAATGACTTGGCTGCTTCTGTAAAGGAAACTATAGTCTGACATATATAGTCACGATAATAGAATGTTTTTAAGGGCTTTCACTACCTGTCTATAGGTTGTGGCAATGCAGTGATGGAAGGGGAGTGAATTCACCAAATATGTTATGAATCAATTATATATCCACTCTCCTTCCATCACCTTCCAACCCTTTCACTTGATGGTGATACCCTAGTGACTGTGCTGTTAATTATATCCATATGGATTCAATTACTATTTAGGATCTCTGTTTTCCTTATTCTTTTTTTTTTTTACTTTAGATAATAAATGAGGAAGATGGGGGCATCCACAGAAGATATGCTTCTCCTTCTCTCCGAGAGAGGGGTGTGCAGCAACTGCGAGTTCCATCTCAGCCTCCTGCCTTATCTAATTTGCCTGGATATGGAACTTCTGCTATTGTTGCAATGGATAGAAGTGCATCAATAGCTGCATCTGGGCCCTCTCTTTCGTCTGGTAGTGCGCTTGTCTCGCAGATGAAACCTCAGGGTAAGGGTACTGAAAGAAGCCTTGAGAGTGTTCTGCAGGCAAGCAAACAACAGGTCTCCGCCATTGAAAGCATGCTGAGAGGTCTAGATATCTCTGAGAAACAAAATTCTCTGTCGACCTCATGCCCTTCTAGTTTGGATCTAGGTATTCAAGAAGTTAAATACCAGTGTTGCAACATCATCTCTGTATATTTATCACTTTTGTTAGTTATTATCTTTCTAGAAGTGATAAACCCAAGATGTTAGCCACAGTCAATTATATATAATCTACTGCCCTATGTGAAACCATTGCCTGTTGGGGTCATCACCGTCCAATGAAATGACAATGGAGAGATAATGGGGCTTTAGCAGAGGACATGACCCAAAATTGGGGTTCTCATTCTCTCTGCATTTCCATTGATCATTTCATTGGATGGTGATGAATGCTGCATTTCATTGTAGTAGATTTTTCCTAATTAGAATAGCCATAATGATAAAATTTTGATCCTACTTGAAATTTAGTGTTTTGCATGGCTAAAAGTCCTTTTTTTGCCCCTAGCGCAGGAGTTGACCCTCCATCAGCTCGTGATCCACCTCTTCCTGCTGCTGTCCCTGCTAGCAATCATCTCACCCATGGTTCTGGATTTTCCAATTCAGCTGGAGCTAACATTGCCAAAGGTAGCATTAGAAATGGAACCCCAGGTCTAACTGATTTGACATCTCAACTTCCTGCCTCCAAAGAACATAACAAGTTATCATATTTAAGTAATCTGGCATCGGATCCCTTGTCCACTCTATCTTACACTGCAAAGAGAGTTCCTATCTCTTCTGAGAGATCTCTAGAGATCAGTACTTTTGAAGACAATGTCGACATTCGACCAACTAGGCGTATTTCAAAGTCAGACATGTACACTGATAGGCATTTCCTTGAAACATCTTACCGAGACGTTGGTTCTAGGGATTCACAGAACCATCATATCCCCAATTTCCAGAGGCCCCTTCTAAGAAAACATGTAGCTGGGAGAGCTTCAGCGAGTGGAAGAGCCAGTTTTGATGATGGTCAGTTCCCAATAGGGGAGATGTCTCACTATACAGATGGTCCAACTTCACTCATTGAAGCCCTGACTGAAGGTCTGAGCCCTAGCTCTGATTGGAATGCTAGGGTTTCTGCTTTTAATTATGTTCGGTCATTGCTTCAACAAGGAGCAAAAGGCACACAAGAGATCTTACAGAGTTTTGAAAAGGTTATGAAGCTGTTCTTCCAACATCTGGATGATCCCCATCACAAAGTGGCTCAGGCTGCTCTTTCTACACTTGCAGAGCTTGTCCCTGCTTGTAGAAAACCATTTGAAAGTTACCTCGAGAGGATTTTACCCCATGTTTTTTCTAGGCTAATTGACCCAAAGGAGCTTGTTAGGCAACCTTGTTCAACAGCATTGGAAATTGTTGGTAACACATATAGCATTGATTCTTTGCTTCCTGCTTTACTTCGTTCACTTGATGAGCAGCGCTCCCCCAAGGCTAAGTTGGCTGTAATTGAGTTTGCCATTAGTTCTTTTGATAAACTTATGAATAGTTCGGAAGGTGCTGCCAATAGTGGAATGCTGAAGTTATGGCTTGCCAAGGTGGCACCTTTGGTCAATGATAAGAACCCTAAACTTAAGGAGGCTGCTATTACAAGCATTATTTCGGTTTATTCTCACTACGATTCCATTTCTGTTCTGAACTTTATCCTTGGGTTATCTGTTGAAGAACAGAATGCTTTGAGGCGAGCCCTTAAACAGTATACACCTCGTATTGAGGTTGATCTCATGAATTTCCTGCAAATGAAGAAAGAGCGTACTCGTTCAAAATCATATTATGACCAACAAGATGTTGTTGGTACGTCCTCTGAAGAAGGATATGTGGTGTCTTCAAAGAAAAGTCATTTCTTTGGTAGGTATTCTTCAGGGTCTATTGACAGTGATGGAGGAAGGAAGTGGAGTTCAATGCAGGAATCCATACAGATAGGAGCCTCAATTGCTCAGACAGCCTCTGATGAACCGCAAGACCAGTACTATCCAAATTTTGAGGCTGGATCAAACACTGAAGACGTGCTTTTGAGTTTACGAAACAAGGATTCTAAAAACAGTGTTAATGCTTCTATACAAAGGACGGGTTCATGGGGTGAGCATCTAGTTTCTGAAAATGTCAATCGCAGTTTAGAGTTTGAGAATTCTATAGGAACACCACGCCTTGTTGATCTCGGATATGTAAACTCAGACGGAAAAGGAGCTTTAGGGGACAAGCTTGACAGTGAAGTTCATCCTGATGGTGACCAGAATCACGAGAAGGCAATTGTACTGAAAATCAATTGTGTACCAGAATCTGGCCCTAGCATTCCTCAAGTTCTACACCAGGTTGGCTGTTAAGTCTTGGGTTTTGGTGATCATTGCTGTAATTCACCTGTTTAGGTCATTTATTGTTTTATTCTTTGGCCAATACTGGGATTTTATGGAAAACGTAATCTTTGTTACCACTATCTATGGACATGGTTGCAGATTTGCAATGGGAATGATGAAGAATCATCTGTAAGAAAAAATGAGGCTCTTCAACTATTACTTCAAGTTTCCCGGCAGAACAATCCTTCTGTGTGGACCAAGGTATGAGCTTCTTATAAAGGTTATTGGTTCCTCATGGCCAAGCATGAGAATTTCTCATGTAATTATTTTTAGTTGTATACATCTTTCAGTAGATGCTGTTGCAGATTTGCTATGCCATTCTCTTTTGCAGACAATATTAAGAAAGTTTGCAAAAAGAAAATTATGGATAGCTGTTTTTAATGGGTACAAATGGCACACAACTTACAAAAGAAGAAAGGTAAAAACACTATACAATAAAGTTTATAAATTTTAATGAGGCTTCAAAATCTAATTTGCTATAACTTGCCCCCTATCAAATCCTTTCTGTAGTTTTTGAAAAATAAAAACTAACAGTGTGTTGTTATTAGGTCGTTAACATACTATTCTATGCAATTTTATCTATATGATAGTCATTTATATATGTGGCTAGTTGCATCTATGTGGTATTCGAACTCTGATCGTAGTTGAAACAGCTGTTGTTAGCATGACCACCCATAACTAGGAACAATTAAGTTTGATCCTGCACTTTCTTGATTTGGTCTCTCACATTCAAGCAGTTGTTCTGTTGTTTAGAACACCATAACTTCTATATGTGGTTGGTGCCACAGAGAAAGTTACTCTTTAATAGTTCATTGAGAAAATCCTTTTTTCTTTAAAGATAAAGCGAAACACTTGTCATCATTGTCATCATGTGAGTCTTATCCAACTATATGTGGTCGTCTACATGAATCTTTTTCCACTGTTTTGCTCTATCAAGTGGCCCTCAGTCAGACACTTATATTTTCCTTTTTATCTCAAGTAAAAACAACACTTGCAGTTTGATTCAAGGTTGACCGGAAATCATGGTCGTGTGCCATGCCTTGGTTAGAAACGTTGTGAGGAAAAGTTTTTTTGTTTTCTGCATGTTCTGGTGTTGAACCTTGATACATAATTTGCAAAATAAAACTGCCAGGGTGCTAAGCCAGATCATAGTTGGTATGATGAGCCAGAGGTCCAATATTGACATATCCCAATAAAGTGTGCAATTTGAATGTTAGTTGGAGATGTTGAGTTATTGTATACCAAGCGTCTTCTAACTGAGATTTCTATAATGCAGTACTTCAATCAGATATTGACAGCCGTACTTGAGATTTTAGACGATCCCGATTCATCTATCAGGGAGCTGGCGCTTTCTTTGATAGTTGAAATGCTCAACAATCAGGTTTGGGTTGCGTTCCATGTGCATTATTTGTTATAATTTCCAATCAAGTACTCTATTGTAAGAACCTTGAAGTTGCCTCTACATGTCCGTACCCATAATCCTTTTCAAAGTACAAGGAACCTAAGACAAGCTGGTGATTACTTTCAGAAAGAAACCATGGAGGATTCTGTTGAGATCGTCCTCGAAAAACTACTTCACGCCACCAGGGATGTGGTTCCAAAGGTATTGCTCTTTTCAGTGAACATTAGCTAATCATAAGATGGTTTTTGCTAATCATAAGATGGTTTTTCTTTATTCGCAGTTTCTAATTCCTGTGATTCTGTTTTTAGGTTTCATCGGAAGCTGATCACTGTTTGACAATCGTTTTATCACAATACGATTCATTTAGATGCCTTACGGTAGATGTGCTTGATGGGGATCTGAATTTTATTTATTTATCTGGATAATTTGAATATTATCTTTGTTGATCAACAATCCACCTATTGGTTGACTTTTGCAGGTCGTCGTACCTTTATTAGTCAGTGAAGATGAGAAAATGCTGGTTACTTGTATCAACTGTTTGACAAAGGTTTGTCTTTAGTTGCTTTTCTGTCCCATCTTTCCCTTCATGGGTCCTTTATCTTATTGTCTACTTGGTTTGAACTTTGAAAAGAATATAAAATTGAAGGTCATGGGAGTTAGAGCCCGATACGACCTTGCTCGTAACGAACCTTGTGACACCCATCTCACATTAACACGACCTTGTCAATTATTATGCACTTCGAATGAATCTTCTCACCCTTACTCCAAGGAGAGGAAAACACTGAAAAGGCCTACTACACTCATTGGTCTCTGTCCTATTACAGTATAGATATGTTGTACATACACCTTGTGACACCCCTCTCACACACTACTTCAATGATGGATATCAGGGATTTTGCTCTCTTTGTAGCCATCAATCCCATAATTCAGAAACGTGGCCAGGCGGTAAGCCGCCAAGGCAGCTGGGAGGCCTCACCACCCCGCACTGGTGGGGGGTGTTGATCCTGGGCGGCCGATTAGTTGCCCAGGGTACCACTTGGGTGATAGTGACTCAATCCTAACTCACATAATGGCAGGTTTTCATGCTGATCTATGGTGGATATACAAAAAACGTACTAATGAATTTATGATATGTCATAAGACAGTGAACCTCATTGTGCCTCATTTGATTTTGGAATATCAAGAATGAAGTGATCTATAGCAATGGGAAAATTTAGGTGCATTAATTTAAACATCCAGATATGATCATCGAGCACCCAACCAAACCACCTTTACGTTGATAGTAACATAGAGTCCTATATGGCTTTAGTTGAGTATATTGAAAATGTCTTTTTTATTTTTATTTTTTTTAACAATTAAAAAAGGAACCACACGGGAAGGCAATGTGTTCCCAAAAGTATGAGTAAGCATACCTATGACACGAAGAACTACTGCAAAGCGTGGCTTGGAGAACAGGGGCGACATTTGACCAAATAATTGTCATGTAAATTGGTTGAACAGTTGCCAAATAAGGTAGGATCCCAACATGCTGGTTTTATTTTGTAGGATTGGCAGGAGGGTGACCTTTCTAACTAGGGAACTTTCACAGTCAGTTAATAAGGAGTTTTCACTGTCTTTGTATTTGTTAGTCTCTCGGGCAATTAGGTCAAGTAACTTCTGTATTATAATTGTCGGAAAGCATTCATAGAACTTAAATATATTTTAAATGAGGTCGAGTAACTGCTGAGTCAGAATTATCAGGAGTTATAGAACTTAAATATATTTTTAAATTCTTGGAGATCAATAAAATCCTCATTGTGAAGGCCCGTGCTTGATTGTTATTACTTGAAAGTTGTTGGAATAGCATCTAGTCAAGGCCTCTGCAATGACCCTTATTTAAAGATGTTCACAAAAAAAGGACTAATATGGTAAAAGAAATTGTTGCAGCTTAGAATAATAAAGCTCATAATTTCTCATAATTTCTTGGACTTTCTTACTTTGAATAATATGGCTTACCTGTTTATTGGGGCAAAAGGTGGTATTTGGGAGTTATTCTCACATATGTCGATCCATGCCTTATGATTTTTATTAGAGGGTGTTGTTGGGAGACTATTTTTTTGACTGGATGTTACTTTTGATAACCTCTGAGCAATTATAATGATCCTCAGTATGTTATCTTTGTTTTGCACTAATCACAAGTTACAAATCTTATAATATTTTTCTCAAAAGGAAAGAAGGAATCTTACAGTATTTTGGAAGTTGATGGGCAACAATAACTTTTGGTAGTTTTTGCGCTTCTTGGGTGCTGTTGATTGAACTATCTTTTTTCATATGGCATTTCAGCTTGTGGGGCGTCTTTCACAAGAGGAACTGATGGGTCAGTTACCTTCATTTTTACCTGCGCTGTTTGATGCGTTTGGAAACCAGAGTGCTGATGTTCGGAAGGTCCCTCTCTCCCTCTCCCTCTCCCTCTCTCTTTCTCTCTCTCTCTCTATCTCACAGATTTCCAAGGAAATAAACTCACAGTATCCTATTCTGTGATTGACTGCTTGCAGACTGTCGTATTCTGCTTGGTTGACATTTATATCGTGCTGGGAAAAGCTTTCCTGCCATATTTGGGTGGGCTTAGTAGCACTCAGCTGCGCTTAGTTACCATCTATGCGAATCGCATATCACAGGCGAGAACAGGTACAGCAATAGATGGAAATCAAGTTTAGAGAGAGCGAGAGATGATGACAGCACTGGAAGAGAAGAAGGAATATCCCCTTTTCATTGGGTGTCCATTCCTTGGCAAGCATTAGGCAGTAATTTGTGATTGTGGGTTTGTATAGTTTGTTCATAGTTGATTGGGTTTTGAGGGTGGTTTAGAGTTTCAGGTCAGAGGTCATTAAGATTCATCTTGTGAAAATTGTAACCATATGCGTCTCCTTTCCCTATAAAAAATTGGGTTCGTTGGGGGTACATAATTGATAACAGGGGCATTGCTAATGGTGGGTCCTTTTCAAAGTCTTGGTGAGTGCTTGTTTGTAGTGGTTGCGGCCGGGGAAATGAGACTTCATTATGTTGGGGGTTTGAAGCGTTTGGGTTTTCTTATGTATGTGATGATGTTATATGAAGTAAGGTCCTATTGTTGGTTGCCCAACTCTTGTGATTGATCTCTGCTATTTTTTGGGAGTGTAAGTTGTTGATCCTTTGGTGAACTGATGGCCTTTGTATGAACTGTTTGTTTTTGGTGTTTGGGAAGTGTGGCTGGTGCTCTCTTTAAGAAACATTCAAGCAGGTTCAGGGCACAAAATATTGAGTTATATGTTTGTAGTGGAGCGTTCCAAACTGATGATGATGCGGTTGTTGATAGATCAGGTTTAAAAATGGTAATATAAATTATTATGTACTTCATAAAATAGAATGGTAGTGTGTGAACATGATGTGGGATGCTCTTAAAGGTGCATAAAAAACATTTTCAAAATCGACACTCTTTCTTTGCCATTCTCAAAGAAGTAAATGCTCTTAGGGTTTCATGTATTCACATGTCAATCATTGAGGACAAAGATTTGATGTTTAGCAGTCTGTAGAGGACGATGATTTGATGTATAGCACTTGAGGTTTACATAGTAAACCGTGCTCGACGGTGGTTGTGAGGCTGATCTTCCTTCCAATCACATTTTAAAGAGTAGCCGAATCAAGCCGTTACTGGCCAGCTCTCAAGTGAAGCAGATGCAGGCCTCTGTCACGAAATATGTCAATTTGAATGTCTTTTCTTAGTACATGCAGGAGATCCTCCGAGCTGGTAACTGTCTGTGGGCTTTCAAAGAGCAGTTTGCTGTCCACCAAGCCCTGTTGAGCTTCATGCCTCACATACATAATACAAAATGGAGGCAGGTCCCCAGACAAGATTCTGTTTGCAAAGAACACAGGCAAGAAAGATATTTCCATCCAGATAAGTTGGCTTGATTTATCGAGTGCCCTCCCGCACATGTTGGCTTGATTTATCGAGTGCCCTCTCTCACATGCAGCCTTGATCTTTAGTACGGATGCTGGTTTCTTCGTACCCTCCATTTTTGAGATGTTACGTGGATCAATTTTCGCATATATTTTATGGGAGGTGAGAATTAATAAGAGAAGGGGGAGGGGAGGCGAGGGGGGGGTGGGGGTGGGGAGGGAGAGCTTTTGTGGGGTATGGCGTGAAAATTTGTGCGAGAGAGAGGAATATGAAGAAGTTGGTATGTTGGCCTTTTTTCTTATAATTCATTTGACCTGTATCGGACAGAGATATGTTAGAAACACAATTGTCAATCTCTTGTAATAAACATGGTATATGTCTGTGGTTTATTTATCTTTTAGTGGGATGTAGAATTGATCATGGATAGAAGTAGTGAGAACATATATGGTGATTTTTTATCTTATTGAAGGTATATGACTCTTGAAAAAAAAAAATAGATTCATATAGCCGATCCTAAATAATTGGGATGAGGGATGAGTTATGCTGAATGAGATGTTGAATTAAGCTTACATTCTTTCTTATTTTATTTTGGTGTGGAAGGCCTCCATGCATGCAGTAGCACAATCTGAGATCGTATTCACGGTATACTGTGCATCAAAACCATGAGCTTTGGAATAATAACTTAATGGTTTTGTTTTCCTTCCCAGTTTTCTTTTTATTTTCTTTGGAAATGTTTTTATGGCCTTAGGTGCTGCTGTCGTCGTCTTGGACTGCTGTTTAGAAAATCTTGTTTCTTTTCAATGACCTTGCCCTCTTTTGTGAGTCATTACTGATGGAACTCATTCTTAACCAATGATCAGGAACTCGGCTGAGTCCACTCGGATTCGGCACCTTGCTGAGACGAGTACATGGGTAAAATTTGTGGACATTTAAAAATAAAAAAGATCATAAAGATTATGTTAAAGTGTAAAATAAATGTATGAATATCTTTATATGTAATTTTTATTTTTTTCTTTATGATAACTTCTTAGCGTTTCTTGTCATACAGCCTTTTTTATATTTTTTTGAAATGTTTCAAGCCATAAATCACATTTTCTAAATCCATTTTTTAAATATATTTGTCTGTCTTATTTGGAATTTTAAGGTTATTTTTTAGTTCATTTTTTATTTTTATTATTTTTATTTTGTTTCTAACAATTTTTATGTTATTCAGGTGTACTGTTATTATCACGATAAGAAACCTTTTCCTATAATAATAATTTTTGAACACTATAAACCTTTTCCTATAATAGCTTGTATGTAATGTGAAAGAAAACTCAGCAATTTGAATTTGAAAACAAACATTTCATTTACCTCAAAATAGCTTTAAAACATCTCAATAAAAGAAATAGGGCGTAATATGCAAGTAATTGAAAATGGGATGCCTAGTTTAAGTTGTGAAGATGGATAATGAGTTCTGAAATGTAGTTTGATTTGCATTAAAAATTATATTCAACTTTATCATTAATAAATTTTTTAAGATACTTATTTTTTTATTTTGAACAATTTGAATTCAAATTCGTTAATCTCAATCATAAAAAAATCAAGGTCATGATACTTATCTGATAAATTATTGATTTAAAAATAAAAACCATAAGGGTGCAGTTTGTATAGAGCCAAGACACTAAACAATCAAAGTAAAGCGTAACTTCAAATAGTGCCCAGAAATGTGGTTTCAATATTGAAAATCTTAGTGAAAGCCTTAAAATATATTTTCATCTTTAATTATAAATTTAAAGCTTCAAAAATAGTGTAGATTGAGCGGATATGTGAAACTTGAAAATCTTAAAAATTGATGGTTAAAAAAATGTGCTACAAGATGCACTATTTTCAAAACTAGAAATCTATTTTTTTTTTTTTTTTTATCTTGTCAATGCATCATGATGTCAATATGATCAATTTGAGAATATTTGGGTATCAAAACAACCATTTCTAGTGAAAGTTGAGGTAAGCTCTAATTTGATTGTTTAGAACCTCGTCTCTATATAATTTTTTTTTCTTCCTATAAAACCCCAACCCCGAGAATATGTGGATAATGAGTGCAAAAAAGTTTATGTAGAGCCGTGGCTCTAAACAATCAAATTAGAGCCCACCTCAAAAATTTTCACTAGAAGATGTTTTGATGCTCAAATATCTAGAAATTGATCATTTCGACATCAAGATGCTTGGGCTTGAGAGAAAAATGGATTTTAAGTTTTGGAAATTGTGCATCTTGTAACACATTTTTAGACCGTCAATTATAAAGATTTTCAAGCTTTCATAGATCTGCTCGATCTACACTATTTTTTAAGCTTTAAATTTTATAATTAAAGAAAAAAATATATTTTAAGGCTTTCACAAAGATTTCTAGTATTCAAACCACATTTCTCGACATTATTTGAAGGTGGGCTTTATTTTGAATGTTTAGAGCCTTGGCTATACAAACTACACCCTTTAAAGTGTGCAGTGCACAAACCAGTACATCACTTGTTACTAGGTGCGAGTTAGTTCAAGTAGAAGGTTAAGGGATAAGCCCAAAAATATATGGTTGAAAGTAGTGAGAAAAAATATCGGGACTTATTGCCTCACTGAGGGTATAACCTTTAATATGTGAGAATGACAGACCAAGACTCGGATAGTGATGATGATGATACTATACTCCCTTGGGAGCATAGTGCGCATATTATACATAGCATACATTTTACTCCCTTGCTTAAAAGACTTATTTGGCAGGATTTTTTCAATAGTAAAATTTTGAAACCATCTAAGAATCACTAGATAATTATTATGATAATTATTATAAAAAAAACAAATTGTAAAATTTGAGTTTTGTAACATTTAGATTTGGATGGCTTCTATTAAACTTGAGGCATTATTTTTTGAAGTACATAAACGTTGCAATTAAGCATAATTTTATTTATTTATTTATTTATGTTAACCTATTGGTTGAAGAGGTTAAGTCCCCAAAATTTGGGTTTCTAAAATGAAATCTAGATTTACCTGAGGAAGTAAATAAACAACATACTCTCGTGGGAGTATAATATCTTTTGGCATAATTGGCTATTGAATTGTATATAATGATGTCATTAATCTTTGTTATAAGAATTGTTATAAGAAGGTCACAATTGGTACTAGCCAATAGATGTCAAATTGGATGGGTTAGGATGTGATACAAAGTTTGATTATTTTTTTTCTAAACTTTGAGTCTAGCCAATGATAGACTTACAACCATTCCATTTAAAATATGAAGGAAAAGAGTGATTGTGACATCCTTGTATTAAAAAATAGGAAAAAGTTTATGTAAGGCTGACACCTTAAAATGTAGAAATGTGTACATAAAAAATCCATCAAAAAGGCTATTTTGATGTTAGAAAACCATCTAATTAATCATCTCAACTTCGAGAAGCATCGATATAGAAACAAAAGATCTGAAGTTAGACCGTCTATTTTTAAAAATTTTATGTGCTTATTGATTTGTTTGATTGGACCTATTTTTGAAGTTTTAAATTTTATAACTAAAGATAAAAATAAATTCTCCTACCATCCTAAGAATTTTCGTCATTAAATTTAAAGCTCATAACAAAGTTTGGAGGTGCACCTTGATTTGTCTAAAGCTGCAACTTTATGCAAATAATACCGTTTAAGTAAGAAAAAAATTTATATAAGGTTGCAACCTTAAAATGTAAAGCTAATGGATGCACCTAAAAAATTTATCGGAAAAAGTTATTTTAATGTTGAAAAACCCTGTGATTGATCATCTCGACATCAAAATTTATGACTATGAAAAATAAAAAGATTTTGAGTCATAGAAATAGTGCATCTTACAACATATTATCTACACTGTCCATTTTCAAGATTTTCATATGTTTATAGATGTACTTGATTTTAACTATTTTTAGAATTTAAAATTATATAATTAGATATAAAAATAGATTTTGAGATAATCCTAAGAACATTTTACATCAAAATTATATATTATGATAAAATTTAAGATTGCAACTTTACGAAACCACACCCCCCTTTAAGTAAAGGAAATGGTCTCTTTATATACTTATTTAATTGCTAAACGGTCTCTTTATATATATTTTATTTGTCATTTAATTGCCGAAGGAGTTTATGGCATTTGAAGCATTTAAAGGGTATCACTAGTAAGTCGTGGCACCGTAAAGCACTTAGTTTTGGCGGGAAAATTGACCCCTCGCCATTTGCACTCGCCTCTCTCTAGAAGCAACACCCCAACCACCTCCCGCTACCTCTCTCTCTTCTCCCTCTCTCGTATGTATGTGGTGGATGATATTCTTGTGCATTGATGGCTCTTTGATTCATTTTGGTTTTGAGGCTTTGATGATCTCTGGGTTGTAGCAAATTTAAGGTATTTCATTAGAAGACATTTGAGTTCATATTTTCCCCAGAAAATTGTAGGCTACGGTTGTTCCGATAGTGTATTACAGTGAAATGGGTGTAATTGTGCTTTTGGTTTTCGTATTTTTATGATTGATTACAGGTTGAATTATGGTTACCCTTACAAGCAGATGAAAACGTGACAATGGGTTGCTTGTGACCGAGCATTGATTTCTGGAAGAAATCTACAGAACCAGGTATGTTGTTGATTTTTTATGGATCTTCTTGCCTTTTAAAGTATTTATCTTTAAAATGTTCCAAGTTATATGTTTTACGCAAGAAACTTACAATTTTGATATCAAAGTCCTAGGAAAGCAGATCTTAAAACTTTGAGATCAAAGTTCTAATAAAGCAGAACTTAAAACTTTGAGATCAAAGTTCTAAGAGAGCCGTTATTGTTTATCTGATATTTGCAATTTAGGAGAATTGTCCTTTTATGAGAAAGAAACCCCAAAAATTGTTACAGAAGAAACTTTAAACTTTGAGATCAAAGTCCTAAGAAAGACGTTATTGTTTTAGTAGTTACAGTTTAGGAGAATGGTCCTTTCATGAGAAAGAAACCCCTAAATACTACATCTTACGGAATTTGAACACTACCTTAACTCTTTTTTTCCTGTCAAGTTACCCTGTAAACCACCTTGTTTAAACTATATGTTGCATCATATAAAGATCATAGTATCATGAATACTGATTTGGTGTTTTCAGAAGCAAAATGGTCCTTTTACGAGAAAGAAACCCCAAAATTCTACACCTTACAAAATTTGAACACTATCTTGACTTTGTTTTCCCTGTTAAGTTACACTGTAAACCACCTTGTTTAAACTATATGTTGCATCATATAAAGATCATAGTATCATGAATATTTCAGAAGCAAAATGCTGCTTTTTATATAGTGATCAACCACTTAATGGAATGGATCCAGAAATGGAATGGATCCAGAAATGGAATGGATCCGGTACAATACTACTAATATTATGAAATTAAAGCTTAAATAGAAAAATACTATTTGGATGAGCCATCTAGACTATCTCAGCATATTTGGCCAAATCATTACTGCTTTATGGCCTAAAGTTTAAACAAAGACAATCAAATTAACTGGATTGTTATTGGCCACATATAATTGAATGTGAAAGATAGCAATTAGCATATTGGCTACCAGAAAAATTGTGTCACGAGTTGTTAAGTTTAATATGCTTCCAACTCGTAGTTTCAACTTGTCTTATCAATAGATGGCTGCAATATACTACTCACTAAAATCATGAACACAGGCCGGTGTCTTTATCTTGTGGTAGAAGAATCACTTGCTGATCTTCTGATCTTGTGGTGAAATATTCACTTGTTTATATCCCTAACTCAGTTTGAGGGAAAATGATGATGGCATTTTCTTCCTTCACTATATATTGAAAATAACATGACTCTTTTGGATTGTATTACTGTTAAATGATGTATGTGATTTGAAATGGCCTACTTATGCTCTTTTGTTTGTTATCATGCAAAGTGCCGACCATTGCTCTAACCACCATGCCAAGTGCTGAACCGCTTGTTTGTTATCATTTTGAATGGGATATAAATGTTTTTTGGGAAACCTAAACATGTGTGATAGCCCTTTTATGTATGAGTTGTCGACTGATTTATAAGGAATTTAAAAGATTTTATGATCTATAATTCAAATTTAAAGGCCATCCCATAGCCATCAATGAAATTTGCATCTTGGGAAGTCATTATTCCAATGCTTTGCGTTTGAAAAATGCGTACAATGTTGATATGCTTTTCTCATGTTTTTACCAACTTACATGGTTAGGCAATTTGCCAAGTGTTATTAGAGTTCCTTTCGGAGTTCCATTTCCATAGCCCTGCCTAGTTGGCCTCCAGGCTGAAGTGAAGTGGGAGTTGGAACTATTCAGCCTCTTCAGTTAAGGAGTAGCTGCTTCAGCCAAAGAGCTCAAAGGGGCCATTTTTAGCCAAATCAAACCAAACCAAGTTTCCTTTTTTCTGTTGGGGTCAAATTTCTTGACTGCTGAAAAGTTGCTCTTACATGTTTCCTTTTTTTCTGTTGGGGTCAAATTTGTTGACTTCTGAAAAATTGCTTCTAAGGTTATTTCATCTCCTTGAATCTACTTAGTGGGTTTAAAAGGGAAAGAACTATTTTGTTTTTTTATATATTTTTTTCCTGGATATGATTTTTGTTATGCATAGAGAATCGTTTAGTAGTTTTCCAACTTCTGTGATAAAACATTTATGTTATTTACTTTAAAATAGAAGTTAAAACTCAAAACAGCTAAATAGTTGAGGACCTTCGGTAGTGGCTCTGAGCAAATTCTAGGTAATACTATAGTTGAGTTAGGAAGCCTTGGTGTCTTTTATTCCGATCTAGCTTTTATCTTATTGACTGTTGTTTATTGGCATGAAAACTTGATCTGTCTTGACGTTAAAAATGTTTCAAATTTTTTAAAAACTTGGACAGTGATGTGATTCTATTTTAATAGTACATTGTCATTAAAAATATGAGCATAATCTGATGGGTGATCTGTTTTAGAAAAGGAACAAGAGATTAAACTCCATGTGTATATGATTTTCTTTTAGGTCAATCTGTATTTTCATTATTTCTTCAAAGTTTCCACTTTCATCGTATTTCTATAGTTTGAATTATAAATCTTTGTGTCTTCTGCTGAAAAAAAAGGTCAACCCAAAATACTTTTCTTGGCCAAACTGAACCAGCTTCTGAACGAAATCAAAACATCTGGCCTGTCATAACTTCCCTGTAAATCTTGCATGACTTTTATGCAAGAGTACATTCAAACATTAGAAACTGGAAAGGGTCGAAAGGAATATCATGCAGTCTACAGTTGTTTGAATTCCTCTAAAGAATCTGAGTTATTCTAGGTTATTGTTATTGTTGGGTATCATCTTTCCTTGCAATGAGTAAACTGGTGTTAATTCCATTTAAGTATCGATTTCCTTCTCAGAAATGGGCAGAAAGAAAAGAGTACGATTTGCAGATGTCAACACTGGCTCTACCTCAAATTACAAGTCTCATGATTCCTCAACAATTGCTAATCGTACACATGCACTGGAGTGTATGTTTCTTTCCAGATCCTATGACTGTTACTATTTGGGTTGATTTGAATTTTGCGACATTCCTTTTCAGTTTAATTGTTATTTTCCTGGTAATGTTTGTGAAGAAGGTGTCTATCATCTTTCATTTTTTTTGTTTACTACCTTCACATGTTGTCTATTTTAAAAGAAGACAATTGCTTTCTTCTTAGTGTGGAAACTTATAGTTAGCATTATGTCATGCAGTTGAAAAGCCTAAGACTTCTGAGTACAGTTTCTATAAACGATTATGCAGAGATGCTGAGCAAAATCTTCATAGTTATGGGCAACAAATAAAGTGCAAAGCTCAACTGGGTTCAAACATATCTAAATCTATTGCAGGTATAGTCTGAGTGGCTGTCTCTTGGGCATTAAAATTTATAACCAATAAAGCTAAGAACCGGTTTGGTTAGTAGCTTGATTAATAGTTTTGGTTAGATCACTTGATAACTCAATGCATATTTTCATGGGCTAGCTTGCTACTCTTGATGAATTAGCTCCTTTTTAATAAATCAAAATATTAAAATGATCTAGTTCATTGTGTCTTGGTTTATTAAATTGTTTGGAATAAATTAGTTGCTGTAATGTGATATGACTCACTGTATTCTTATTATGTCTTGATGCTATTTCTAGAGCAAAATGATAATATCAGACACAAGCATGAGGTCCTCAGGCCCTTGTCCCTCATAGAAAATGTTGCAGCCTTTGACCCAATTTCTCCTCTCCTGAAAGATGTGGAAGGTCCTAGAAAATCAGGTATGCATTCATAGCGTATTGTTCATTTTCTAATTTGTGTATCACTCTCTTTCAACAAATTTTTAGGCCCCTCTAATAGAAGATTATCATCATACTTTGATCTTAAAGTATTTTCAAACCTACAAGCTTTTGAAATTAACAATTTCTTGTTTTTAGGCAAGGGAAGCAGTTAAATGAGAAATTCCATGAAAAATATATGTATTTATGGATGGTCGCTTATCCATGATAGCATATTACTAATGGCCATTTTGAAGGGTCCACAGGGATTAATTTCTTTGAGGATTGTAGCATTACTGGTGTCCATGGATAAGTAAACCATATACATTCTTATAAAAAAATATCTTTCTCACTCTTTAAAGTACATCAAGTAACTATTTGTCTCACCAAAGTTCAGGTCTGCAATATGAGCAAGGGAAGATCTTCTCAGAAACAAGACATAGATTGCTTAAATTAGCAACAGAGACATTGTCCCTTGGGGTAGATGTCTTGGTTTCTCGGCGGTAAGATAACCATCACGTGACTAAGGTGTCTTGGAAGCTCTTTTTCAATTAGGGTTTGTTTTGATGATTCTGACTGTAAGATTTGCTCAGATCCAAGTTGATTTCGGAGTTCCTTGGGAGATTGAGTATCCAAAACAAAGTAAGGAATCCATTCTTCTCATTTCTGTGTTCTCTTTAGAACTTTAGAGGGCATAATCTATAGTCCAAACCTTGCTGTGGAAGTCTGCTTTCTTCCCTTGTAACAGATTTGGAAGGCTTCTACTTAGAGATGCTATGAAACGCTAGAGATTTAGAAAATGAATTGTAAAATGTTACTGGCTTTAAAAATTATCATGGAAGAAAAAGAAGTTTAAACTGCTATTTATGAAAGTACAAAATGTCGTGAGGTTTTAAATACATGATTGAAACTATGCTTGTGTAATAGCCATGCAATAGATGTCTCTCTCCCTCTCTCTCTCTCTCTCACACACGCACACACATACACCCATGCACATACCCATGCATAAACAAGTTTGGCCACTCGGTCCTCCAATTTCTTGCTCTTCTAGGTTTGGGCCTTTGAGCTGCTATGCCTATTTGTTCCATATATTCCAGAGGACATACTTAATACATACATATATCCATGTACATGTTTCATGTGGTACTTGTATGGATTGGTGGTTGTAGCAGCTTATTGCCCCAGTGCGCTCTCGTGCTTGCTCGTGTGTGTTCATATACAGTTAATTACTTTTGATGCATGAATGGGTAATAATTTCATTTTTCACCAGTGTGGCACTTCCGCATTGTCAAGGAAGATGACTCGAACCATTACTTTGGGATTTGATTCTTCATATTCAAATATGAGCATTGAAGAACTGCCTCCGTCTCCAGGCCCGAACCTTGAGCCACAAAGCTCCAAAATGTCTTATCATTGTGGGATGTTGGATCTGCATAGTGGCTCCTCTGAGATTGACATTCCCCTTTTGCCTTGGGATACTGATGATTCCCTTCAACACAACAGTAAGCTCCACGAACTAAGTTGTGATATTGAAAGAAGCCCATATGCCTCTTCAGCCTTGGATATCGAACACCTCTGCAACTTCAGGCCCAAAGATATGAAAATGGGTGCTCACTCTGCAAGAAAACTGCTTGATTCAACTGAAACAGAACCTTTTGCAGATCACAACTTGAGTTTTAATGATAAGTTTGATAAAACTCCTTCATGTTCTCTTTCCCAACTTCCTATCATAACTCCCCCTCTCACTTCTCACAAATTTCTGGACGGACAGTCACCACAAAATTTCCATTTTCGAAATGCCTTACCAACCTCCCATATCTTCAGGCATAATAGATCTTGTTCTTTTCCCCCAAGACATGACTTTGAAGAACGAGGAATCGACCCTTTCAATATGAACATCTCTCGTCCATTTAGTGACAGTCTTAGTGAGAAATATGCGGATAATCTCCACCAATGCTGTGAATGGTTTTGTTGCCCGTTATCACTGCCTGCTCTTTTGGTTGAGAGCTTCGATGTCTCAGATCAAAGAAAGCAGCCAAAATTGCGTCATTTTCCATTTGCTCAAGGTGTAGAAAGATGCTTTGCATTTCCAGGCTTCGATGGAGTATGGGATAAGGTTGCAGGTGATAATCTGGAGGCCCATGGTACTTCATCATTCCATCACTCTGAGAAGCTGTTTTTGGAAGGGCCTGGAACAAAACCTATAAGTCCATTGTTGAGGTGGGATTCATTTCCTGATAGAACTTCTGAGAGAAAGGAAACATTATGGCCATTGCTATTGGATGCACCTGTCTATGGTGATTCTGGAGAAGGAAGTTTCAGTGAGAGATGAATTTTTTTTTTTTTCATTCTATGTTTCATTGGCTGTTCCTATGTATCCAATCTTTCAGTAGAAGTCAGCAAGTTTCAGTGATTCATGATCTCTGCGGATTGTTCTCATGCCTCAATCTTTCTGTAAATTTCAGTAAGTTCTCAGAGATGCATGGACTTCAGTGGGTTTTTGTGGTGCGCTGTTCTTTCAGCAAATTTCAGTAAGTTTGACTGATGCATGCATTCAGTGGGTTTTCCTAATGCCTCACCATTTACATCCCGGTAAGCTATCTTGAAACCACTTGTAAATAATAGCAAGATATTATCCTAGGTGTTCCCATAGTTGAATTTGGCTAATGCATCAGAGATAGCATAAAATGCTGTCTTAAGTTGTCATGTCTACCTCTGGCACCCCAATAACATACATTAAAAATAGCAAAAAATGTGATGTTTCCTTCCATGAAATACTGATCTACTCCACAGCTAATGGTGGGGATACATGTTATTTAACTGGAGTAATACCCTATGGAGAGCGAGGCATTAGGGTAGGATACCTATTATGGGGAGCCCCATAAAGTGGGAATTTTACGCATTCTACTTTTTGATCCAATTCAAACGCTATCTTTTCCTTTAACAAATATCTTTAATGATAATTAAGTAGGAGATATATAAATATGAAATCCAATTGGTAAAGGAAAATGTAAATTTAATCTCTAATACCAAAATTCTGGAGATTTTGTACAGTGAAAAGCAATTTTATGCATTTTACGGTCTTGAGATTATAATAACCATAATAGAAAGTGAGAAGGTGAATCTCTTTTTGTTTTGCTATTGGCCTTTTTTTTCTTCATCTTTTACTTAAAGAGAAGCATACAAAGATATCATTTACTTTTTTTTACAAAGAGGTCACAATCATTGATAGCCGTCATATTTCAAATCGGATAGTTGTGAGTATGTTATTGATTAAACTCAAAGCTCAAAAAGTAATTTCTCAATTTTTGTGACGCACCTCAAGCTATCCAATTTGATATGTAATGACTAAGAGTTATTATGAACTTCTTGTTACAAAGATAAATAGTATCGTAGTATACAATTCTTTTACTTAATTTACAAGTTCTCCTTCGTTGTTTCCATGCAAGAACTCTCTCATTTATTTTTTCGTGTGATTAGGCTAGTCACTATCATGTATTCATGGATAATAAAGTGAATTAAGTTAAGTAAAAAGTACAAAATAAGAAATACAAGTACCTCCAACATCATTCTAGAGTATGCCTTTGATATATACTGTCAGATTGTGCGGAAGCTGGCCACTCGCTACGCCGTGTGTGCGGAGGGGATTTGTTCAAGACGCCTTTCGACCACATGCTGCTTCAGTGCTTAACTAAGTAAGAAGGCCATCGGGTGGTTCACGATGTCCGAGCCAGGATATGTGACCATGGAAGGATATGTTAGGGCAAAAAAATTTGGAATACTAGATTCTAAGTTCATGATGTACTTTAGAAAAGGAGAAATGAATAAAAAAAAGCATGATTTAAATAAGAGAGAGTTAAGGTTGAGGCCCTAATCAATCAAATTAAAACACACATCAAAAATTCGTTAGAAGAGTTTGTTTCGATGCCCAAAAATTATCAAATCGATTATCTTGATCTCAAGATGTATAGACATGAAAAAAAACGGATTTTAAGTATTGGAAATAGTGCATCTCGTAATGCATGTTGTAGACCGTAAATTTTCAAGATTATCAAGAGTTTATAGATCTGCTGGATCTACATTGTTTTAAAACTTTGAATTTTATAATTAGATATGAAAATAAATTTTCATGCTATCACAAAGGTTTCAATATTGAAATAACATCTTTTGATAGTATTTGAAGGTCATCTTACTTTGATTGTTTAGAGCTGCAGCTTTATACAAACCTCACCTTTTAAATAAACGATTGTTCAGAGCTGCAGCTTTATACAAACCTCACCCTTTAAATAAAGGACAAAGAGTGACTGGCCTAATCATGCATAAATCCCTAAATAAAAAATGAATACATTAAGCAGTGTCTTAAAAAAATAGTGACTAGCCTAATCATTGTATGGTGAGAGAGCGGAAGAGAGTACGTATACATCGTAGTACAAAGATTTTGTTTGCATTTTGTAGAGAGGAGCCAGTACGTACACACCGGAGTACAAAGATCTTAATACCGTAATACAATTTAATAGTATTTTTTTAATTTGAATTATTCTTTTTTGGATGAATATTGTCTATGGGACCCGGTTTTGGTGTACAGTGCACATCTCCAAGCCCAAATGATAAGGGGTGCGGGCTTGGATGTACCAAATAATTTCCTTTTTTTTTAAGAGAAAGCTTTATATATTTCCTTACAATATAAAAGTTCTATCTTCCCTTTTATCCAACCCTCTATTTTTGAATGGAGAGCTAATATTATCCCAATCACAATGTCACGGCTTTACACTATTTTATTTTTAATTTTTTTTCTATAAACTATTTTGACACCAAATTTTGAACGCCTATTCCTCTATTAAACTCGCAATAACGAAAAATATTTTCAATAAAATAAAATGATCAAAATATAATCAAAATACCTTTGAAATTTTCAAGGGATATTTTGATCATTATATTTTATCAAAAAAATATTGTTAATATTTTTTATAGGTGCGCCGCAATGAAAAGATGTACGTATCAAATTTCATATTCAGAAAAATTGTATTAAAAAAACTAAAAATAAAATATTTTGAGATGTCGGATCTAAAATCAAACGGTGAGTGGCTCTTTTGATAAAATATGGGCGGCTGGATGGTAAGGGGAGATAGAACTTCTATGTTGTAGGAAAAATATAAAAAGCTTTCATTTTTTTTAATATTCATGGACGCGTAATTTAGTCAAGCTTTCATTTTTTTTTAATATTCATGGATGCGTAATTTAGTCAAGCTTTCATTTTTTTTAATATTCATGGACGCGTAATTTAGTCAAGAAGACTGCCCTGCTCGTTTTTTCGAATAGATTAGGAGTTAGATTATAGTGTTGGGTTGCTACCACCACAAGCTTGGACTTGGACATGCATGTCTATACTTGCTTATAAAGTTTCTAACGATCCTAACATCAAATGTAAATGAATCAGTGAACATTTTTCTTATTTAATTTTAAATAAATTATTAATTCAGACTATTAAGAAAGGGTGCAGTGTGTATAGAGTGGAGGCTTTGAACAATCAAAATAAAGCGTACATTCAAATAATATCGAGAAATATGGTTTTAATTTTTAATATTAAAAATGTTTGTGATAGTCTTAAAATACATTTCTATCTTTAGTTATAAAATTTAAAACTTAAAAATCTATTTGATACTTTAAAATATATTTTTATATTTAATTATAAAATTTTAAGTTTAAAAAATAGTGTTAATTTGAAAAATAAAATATATTTTTATATTTAATTATAAAATTTAAAGCTTAAAAAATAGTGCTAATTTGAAAAATCTTGATTGTTCATACTTCATACAAAATGCACTATTTTCGAAACCTTCAAATCTACTTTTTTTTTTTTATCGTGTGTATGCATCTTGATTGTTCAAGGTTCAGCTCTATATAAACTTTTTCAGAATTTTAATTCCAATTTTAATTGCATCTAAGAGAGAGAGAGAGAGTTCAGTAAACATCGTTTAATCATCCAAAGCTTTTGGCTGTAATTTAGAGAGAGAGATGAGGGAGGGAGGAGAAACATCAATGGCGTTTCCTTGCATTTGGAAATTTTTTGGATTGGTCAAGCCGAAAATTTTTCGTTGCTAGAGAGAGAGAGAGCATTGCTCAACAGCTTGCTTGAGCTCCGACTGGCAGCGTTAGCAATGGCTTCTTCCTCTCTGTTCCTCAGACTCCCCAAATCCACCCTCCTCTTTCTCTCTCCTCTTCCTCTCTCTACCAAACACATCACATCTTTTTGCACCAAACCCAAAACCCAGACCCTTTCTTCTCTCTCTACAAACCCCAGCTCACCTCTCCGCACAAAAACCCAATCTCATGCTCCATTAGAGAACCCAACTCTAGATTATGAACCAGTGATTGGAATAGAGACCCATGTTCAATTATCAACCAAAACCAAGGCATTTTGTGGTTGCCCGTCAAGCTATGGCTCTCAACCCAACACTAGCATATGCCCCATATGCATGGGCTTGCCTGGCTCACTTCCAGTTCTCAACTCGAAAGTCATTGAATTTGCAGTGAAGCTTGGGCTTGCTCTTAATTGTGAGATTTCATTGAGGTCTAAGTTTGACAGGAAGCAGTATTTCTATCCCGACTTGCCGAAGGGGTATCAGATTTCACAGTTTGATGTGCCCATTGCGAGAAATGGGTTCACTGATTTGGACCTCCCTTGTGAGTTTGGGGGTGGGCATAGGAGGTTTGGGATTACCAGGGTCCACATGGAGGAGGACGCTGGAAAGTTAATTCATTCAAGTAATGGTGATTTCTCTCAGGTTCTTCTTCTCACTCTAGGATTTGTGCTGTTTACAGTCCTTAGGTTTCCGATTTTGTTCTCTCTCTCGCTAGAAATGATGTTGTCTGTACTTCTTAGTTTAGTACTTTTGAGTCATATGATTTCTTACATTGATGCTGGTGTTTTTGTTGTTCCTACTTTTGTTAGCATTTGACCTGTTTTAGGATTACATTTCTATGTTAAAAAATTGGAGTTTTGAGATGCATGTTTTGTTACTGTAGTTGTTGATGCTGACCAGTAAATGTTTGAGGTTCAACTATTGTACTCATTACCACTATTTCTGTTGAGTTTTCTTTGAGGGGTCGAACATGGAAATTGTCTTGCTGTTAGAGACTTCTTCTTCCTCTTGATCAGGAATCAATCTAATGTATCTAAATGTTGAAGTTTTATTTTTTTGTATTATTTATTTCCATTATTTCCTTCCTTTAGACCTTGTTCTCCATCTTCTTCCTTTTTTGGTTTCATTCTTACTGGTCCTAGTCCTTTTGTCATTCTTCTTTTATTCAATTTTCTTTTCCCCCTTGTGTGGGCTGGTTGGGGGTTTGGATTGGGGGCTGGTTGGGGTTTGGATATTCATCTTGTTATGTTCTTCTGCTTATTGATCCGTTCGTTGAGATCTGGGAATCCTTCTCATGGGTTTTCCGAATTTGTCAGTTGATATTTGGATGTACTTCTTTTTAGTCTTACTTTCATTATTTTAAATGACCTTTGCATTTCTCTCTAATTAGGAATTTGTAGCAAGCCATTGGCTTCATTTAATTTGAGAGTTTCTTTCATCTACCTGTGGCTGTGCTTATGTACTGTGTGGGTTTCTCTTTTGCTTTCATTTCTTTCTTTGCTTATGTATTATGTCATCATCTTTATGTCAATTATTCTATTTTTTTAGTCCTACTTTTTATGCTTTTTTTTTTCTTCTTCCTTTTCGGTATTACAGGTGGATTTGAACAGGGCTGGGGTGCCCTTGCTTGAGATCGTATCAGAGCCTGATATGAGAAGTGGGATCGAGGCAGCAGAGTATGCAGCAGAGATACAAAGAGTAGTAAGGTATTTAGGAGTGAGCAATGGCAATATGCAGGAAGGCTCACTGCGCTGTGATGTCAATGTCTCAGTCAGGCGCAAAGGGCAGTCAGTTTTTGGAACCAAAGTAAGTAGAATGATGGGGAGAAAGTAATTGAAATTAATTATGATGGTAATAAATCATCACCATAAGAGCCTTTTTCCAACTATTTGGGGTCAATTACACGAAACTTGATCTTCCATTTTGCTCTATCAAGGGCCATACCCTAAAGGAGGCTATAAGCTCTATATTTCTCACTACTTCTAACCATGTTCTTTTGGGCCTACCTTTTGCCCTTTTTGAGCCTTCAACTTGGATTAACTCATATCTCCTAACACGTGCTGTACTTCGTCTACGCTGCACATGGCCAACTTACCTAATTTTACTTTTTCTCATCATATTGCCTATTGGTGCCACGCCTAAGTTCTCATGCATGTATTTATTTCAAATTCTATCCCTTCTTGTCTTGCTTCTAATCCATCTCAACATCCTCATCTAAGCTGCGCTCATCCCATAGGTATATTGTTTATTGACTGCTCAACATTCCACCCCATTAGCAAAGCTGGTCTCATAGCTATCCTATAAAACTTGCCTTTTAACTTCATTGGTATGCGGTGATCACATAAAATTCCGGTTGTACATCTCTACTTCGACCACCCAACTCTAATTCTGTGTGCGACATCTTCCTCAATCTCTCTATTTTCCTCGATTATTGACCCAAGATATCGAAAGTGCGGTCTTTTTGGTATTTCCTGGCTGTCAATCTTAACTACTTTCTCGTCTTTATTCCTATTATTACTGAACTTGCGTTCCATATACTTTGTCATGGTCCGGCTAATTTTAAAACGTTTAGATTCTAGATCATCCCTCAAAAGTTTTAACTTTGTATACACACCATTTCAGGTCTCATCAATCAAAACTATGTCATCTACGAACAACGTGCACCACGATACCTCATCCTGTAGGTTCCTAGTTAAATCGTTCATAACTAAGATAGATAGGTATGGGCTCAATGTCGACCCCTGATGTAGAACTATTGTCATTGAAAACTCATTCGTCCCTCTACTAGTTGTTTGTGCACTAGTTAATGCTCTATCATACATATTTCTCACTAAATCGATGCAGTGGTTGGAGAGTTCTTTCATTTCCAATACCCACCAAGTCAAATCTCGAGGTGCTTTATGATAGGCTTTCTCTATATCAATAAATACTATGTGGAGGTCTTTTCCCTTCAACCTAGACTTCTCAATTAGTTGCTTAACTAGGAAAATAGCTTCGGTTGGTGACCTCCATGGCATAAAACAATTGGTTATCAGATACATTTGTTTCATGCTTTAGTCATTGCTCAATCACTCTCTCTCAGAGCTTCATAGTATGGCTCAAATGCTTGATCCCTCGATGGTTATGGTTAGGAAAAAATATTATTAGAAACATATATATATAATCTTCCCAATGCCTATAGGCGAAAATGAACAGTGATTTTGCCTACCCTCATCACCGTCCAAAGCTCATCGCACAGTCATGATTGTCCAGTAGTGTTTCATTTTTCATTTTTTTTTTACAAATCGGAATGACCTGAAATTTGGAGCGTGTGTACATCTTATATATATATATATATGGAAGATACTACAAAACGCCTATAGGTGAATATGAACAGTGATTTTGCCTACCCTCATCATTGTTCAAAGTTCATCGTACGGTCACAATTGTCTGGTAGTGTTTTATTTTTCATTTTTTTTTCTACAAATTGAAATGATCTGAAATTTGGAGCGTGTGTTTATAAAAAATAGGCGAATTTACGAAATATATCAAATTTTGTTTTTTATTTGAAAGAAATTGACCAAAATATTCCTGCCCAAAAGTTTCAGGGGTATTTTTGTCAAATGTTTTTGCGAAATATTTTTTTTATATTTTTATTAGGTGCACCTCACTAAGATATACACACGTTCGAAATTTCAGGTCATTCCGATTTGTAAAAAAAAACAAAAAACTGAAACACTACCGGCCAATCGTGACCGTGCAATGAACTTTGGACGGTGATAAGGGTAGGCGAAATCACTATTCATTTTCGCCTATAGGTGTTGGGAAGGCTTTTCCATATATATATATATACGCACACACACATACACATACTCACACAATGTAATCATGTTCATCTTCTACATTATAATCTCTATGATGACATCTTGTTCTTTATTATAGCACTCACTATGCAGCCAATTCTTGCTATTCTTCCCTAATTGTAACATTTATTTTGTGATGTTGTTCTTTACTTGCTATTGAGTACACAACTGTTGGATTCCTTATGGTTATGGTTATAGTAATGCAAAAATATTACTAAGAAGTGAAAAAAATCATATGTATGTATGTATGTACGTGTGTCAGTATATGTGTGGTTTGCATTAGTGTGCAACCTTAAACAATCAAAGGCCACACCTCCAAACTTTGTCATAAGATGCATTTTGGTGTCAAATATTTTTAGTATGGCCAAATAATCTATTTTCATCTCTAATTAAAGAAATTTAAACTAAAAAATAGTTCAAATCAAGCAGATCTATAAGTGCATGAAAATCTTTAAAATGGATGGTCCGATAAAGTGTTGCAAAATGTACTATTTTTGGGATTTGAAGTCTTTTTTGTCCCCATATTATACATCTCAATGTAGAGATGATCAATTAGATGGTTTTCCAACATCAAAATAGCCTATTCCGATGGATTTTCGGCATGCACCTTAATTCTCCAATAAAAGGTGATAACCTCATACATATTAATACATATATAATACATTTGTACATACATACATACATGCATACATACATATGTACATACATACATACATACGTATACATATGTACATACACACATACATACTACATACATATGAACATTCAAACATACACACATATATGTATGCATGTTACATACTTCACTATGTAAACATGTTAATCTTTTACATTATGTGCATATATATATATATATCTATATATATATATATATATTGCTATGTAAACATATATATATATATATTACTATGTAAACAAATATGATCACCATGTAATCATGTTTGTGTTCTGCATTATGTGTAACTACAAATATAATCTCCATGATGACGTCTTGTTCTTTATTATAGCACTTAGTCTTGCTATTCTTTCCTAAATGTAAAATTTGCTTTGTGATGTTTTTCTTTTTTTCTATTGAATACACACCTGCTGGATTCCTTAAGGTTATTATGTAATTTAACCTTGACAAACCCTTGCAAAACACTGCAGTACAGCACCTACACATTCCTACTTGACAAACCCTTGTAAGCTGCCTCTAGCTCCTCCTGTCTTGTATTTCATTCTTGTTTCACATTCATCCCTCATAATGCTATTGCCAATGTGTGTGTGTGTGTCTTGTGATGTTTTTCTTTATTTGCTATTGAATATACACCTGTTAGATTGTATGAGTGCGTGTGTCCCGTGATTTGACATTTGTTTTGTGATATTGAATACACACCTGCTGGATTCCTTATGGTTATGGTTAGGTAAAAATATTAAGGGAAAATTCATGTTGTGTTACCTGATGGTTGAGAAACCCATGTAATTTATCCTTGACAAGCCCAAATAAAACTCTGCAGTACAACACCTATAGATTCCTACTTGACAAAACCATGCAAGCTGCCTCTAGCTGCTCCTGTCTTGCATTTCATTCTTGTTTCACATTCTTCCATCATAATGCTATTACCAACTTTAATTTTTGAAATGATCTTATATATTTGGGAAGAATGGGCATTGAATATGTCTCGGACTTTTGCATTTACATAAACAGGTTGGAGTTTGCATATAATTCTATCAAGATTATTTCCGAGGGAATGTTTTTTTGTAGCAATGGTCATCAAGACTTCATATCGTTTCTTAGCATGCGATCTGATGTCAGTAGCCACTCCTGTTTTAAAAGCTGGACTTGGCTGTGGACTTGGTCATGGCTTGGGCAGCATGTTGAGTCATTTACAGGACCCCGAGTCGGTTTGGTGAGTCAGGCCAAATTGGTGAAAAAAGACATCATTAAATGTACAAAGATACTAAAAAGTTTTTTCAAAAAGTGTGAAACATGACAAAATCAAAGATAATTAGAAAAAAATATGTATATTAAAGAAATAATCGCTCCTTACCCAAAGTCCTCAAGGCTAGTCGAACACTCGTGCTCACCCCTACCTGGTTACTCATTTTCATTCTTATGTCTCCATCGTTTCGTTTGGTGGCCTCATCATCGTCATCATTTCCTCTTCCATCTTCCCTTTGCTCTTCAACTTGTGTTTCTCCCTCAACTTGTGCACCTCGTCCAACTTGCACCTCTTGAGTACCCCATTTCTCTCCTTTCTCTTCTATGGGGCTCAACTTTTCTCCATATACCCCGTTATTGAGAAGTGGCTCCTCCACATCCACTAGCCATTCCTCAGCTGGATCGCCAAGAAATATATGATCCAAATTGATATGTTCATGGTCCTTGGTTTCCCTACCCTGCTGCTCTTTCAAGAGGTTCAAGTTGTAAAGGACATATCTAGCTTTTGTTGCTTGGTAGCAACCTACTTGCTTATTCTTGGCATGTCGATCCACTGGAATGTCATTAGTGTTGCACTCGGCTGAGGAGCAGCTTCTGCGGAGTACCTTGATTGATTGCAATACTTTGTAGGTGTTGTGCCCCATTGCCTTGTAGTTTCTACCATCGTACTGAAAAAGGAGAAGCAAAGGAACTCACAAAAAAGTTGTCTAATGATTATAAAAGAATGTATAGGTGCATAGGGACGTGGGAGATCATCTGGATGTAGGTGAGTGCAAGGCCCGAACAAGTTTTGCTGGGAAATTCTGTTGCACATCCATATTTAGGGAAAGCTGAGTAAAAAATTGAGGTGTAGTGGCCTACACTTGTAGCTTACATAACTCATAAATTCTCAGAGTTGGGAAATTTCTTCACAAAAAATCCTTACCTCCTTAAGATTTTCAATATGCTTCCTTTCATCTCCCTCAAATCTCTTTATGCAATATTTCACTGTCTCTATGATCATAGGGTGAGTTGATTGTCCTGGGCCATAGGAGTACGTGTGGTTCAAGAAGAAACCTAGGTGACATGAACATTTATGAAAACATCCGTTGTTGATTACATGAACCCTCATCAATCATAAACCATAATTAAAATTCCCCTATAGAAGGAATCCCAAAGCAGCTTAATTTTGATGGCTGCTCAATTGATAAGCTTAGTATAGCTAGCTATTGTGGAACATTGGGTAATACCATTCTCAGGGAACTTGTGGGCGCATGGGCCCAATGGTGGTTTGTTTGCTCTGTGTTACATGGAGGATGACATGGGTGGCATGTCTAGCACATCTGAAGCTGACATGGGTGCCATGTCTAGCACGTCTTAGGCATCTAGCACTCCTAGTCAAGAAGCTAGTATGGTTATGAGACCCCCGTACAATTTTTATTTTAAGATTAATATATTATATATAATACTATGTAAAACTCAAAAAATATAATAAAAAATATAAGTTGAAGAAAGCATTAGATAAAATTATTTCCTGTGAATAAATTTGAGAATATTATCTCCATTTTGTTTTTTCAGTTTTCAAAATAAGGCTTCTTTGGATTGCTATTAATAATGAAATTTTCTGTTGCATGACCATTTTTATAGCAGTGTTAGAGTGTTAAATTACTAATTAAGAGGTTGCGGGTTCAAGTCCCCCCCAAATCTTGGTTTGTGTATTTGAACCTACAACCTCTTAAGTAAGTTTAAAACTTCACTGCAACACTCAATGGTATTTCTATCATAGGATGCAAAATTTATCACTAGGAGGAATTGGAAGAAGCATTATTTTGAAAAAATAAAAATGCAGTGATAATATTTTCAAATTGTCTTATGTTTTAGATGAATATTTTTGGGTTGGCTTGGTAGACATTTCAGTTTAGGTGAGGGAGGTCAAGGGTTCGAACCCTTGAAGCTTGTCCCTAAAAACCAAACAAGCTGATGTACCCCTTTTCTTATCATATATAACATATTTATAGAAACTGTTTGTACAAACTTGTCTTAGCCGTATTGGCTTTTTGGCTTGAACTACGAGATATGTAAGACATGGAACTCTAACAAGATATAAGATAGTTTCTGAACATGCAGGGCTTCTATACTTACAACGAGGTATATGAAAATCAATGTTCTTGCTCGTTGTAGAAAACATTAAAGAGATCAAGTACATGGGGCTTCTACAATAAATATGTGATGGTTTCTTTCTTAAAAAAATCATCTCTCTCTCTCTCTCTATAAGAAAAAGTAAAAAAAACATAAAAAAGCCTCTTTACAGTTTCTATAGGCGTGGAGCATTAAATGCAGGTAACTGATTTCCAAGAATACTTGGTAATTAAAATAGAATTTTCACTTGTTTAATTGTTTAAAGGTTACTAGTATGCAATAAATGCTAATAGGCAATGCCCCATCTTGGAGGGATTTAAATGGATAAAATTAATAAAGTATCAAATGCTAACATTTGGGGAAAAAAAACTCTTTAAGAAGTAAGGCCATGAACCATTCCATAATAAAACTAGTTGTTCCTGATACCACCTCCTCAATTCCTTCTTCCATAATCTGAGATTGGAGAAGAATATTAGAGATCGCTATAGAGAATGTGGTAAGAAATCCATGATAGAGTGTGACCACAACAACTAAATTTATTATCTTCATGCATAAGGATAATAGATTACCTATTAAAACAGATTCCGAATTATTACAAACCTCCTTTTGCTCCATTGCAATTTCTAGAGTATTATATGATGATCAGACACTTCGAATAAAAGTTCACTCATGTTTAATTGCCAGACCGGACGAGACATACGGAACATGTGTTAAAGCAGCATCTAGGAGTGTCAACAAGTGTCCAAGTATCGACATGTGTTCCAGCCAAAGCAGCAGTGTCAGTGTAACTCTGCCATGGCTGAGGCCAAGTCTCTCTTGACTACGCTTAGGCTCTGTTCTTATTCTTTTGGGTATGATTTGTAGCGGGTATGGGTTGTAGCTATAGGTGGATTCCTTTGGTGTTATTAGCTGCTCTGGCAAAGCGGCTATTTCCCATAAACTGTGGCAGATATTATGGAGGAGATTTTTGTGTTCTTCACAGATGACTGCAAATTCCTTTTTCAATGGAATTAGAGATGACAATGGTGTTGCTGAGTCCTTAACTATATTGGGGTTTTGTAGAGTATCCCTCAGATTGGGAACTGATCATTGCTTAGTTTGAATCTAAGGTTTTATTCTCTCTTTTTTTGTATATCTCAGTCTATTTGAACCTTGCATGATGCATCAATGCATGCCTTTCTTGATTTGCTAATTCCAGATAAAAACGAAATGAAAGCAAAAGGACCTGGCTTAGTTATTGCAAGTCTTGTTCCATTTGACTCGGATGGTTCCTCATAATATACTTAAAAGCCTATGACATTGTGGGTATGATAGTTGTTGAGATCTTGTGGCAGCTATTTTACAGTGATAATTAAGATGTAATCAACCTGGCTTCCATAACCTTGTTTTACCTCATTATTGTTTACCTTCTATTATTTATAGAAACATTGCTATTATGCTATTCTTTTTCGCGAATACGGAATATTCTTTCTTTTCACTCAACTTTCTTTCGTCTAACCCAAAAATATGGATTTTCCACTGTTCAATGTACCATATGCTTTTTTTTGTTAGTGCAGAAGATATCTTGTCTCCATCTAATATTCATTCTTCTTAAACATTGTTCCTCGTCTCCTTCACTCAAGTGCCTTCACTAATGTTTATATCTGATATCTGTGTTTATTATTATGTTTTTTTGTATCACCAGGTTGAGATAAAGAATATGAATTCATTCTCAGCTATGCATAGAGCAATTGATTTTGAAATCTCAAGACAAGTTTCTCTTCTAAAGGAAGGTAAAAGCGACGAGGTTATACAAGAAACCCGACTTTGGGAGGAAGGAGCTCAGGTTTGAACTTTATTCTAAATATATTTTCTTAGAAAAGAATACAATAAAATCATTTACCTCTAGTACAATGAGGTCACAACCACCCTTGGCTGTTGGATATGAAAATTAACAGCTGGGGTTGTGTCAAAATTCAAACGGAAAATTTTTGAACTTGGTCACATACCCTAAGCTGTTGGATTCTCATCTGACAACTAGGGTTATTGTGACGTCTTTCTACCAAAGGTGCCTGTTATATAATATTTATTTTCCATAGCAGTGCACACCCAACTTTTGGTCTGGTTTTTCCGCTCCAACTTTTGGTCTGGTTTTTCACCCTACTACTTTTATCCTTTTTGGCATCTCGGAATTTGATATATCACATACCTCTTAAAAGTGTTTGACCTCTGTCCTCTACTTGATTTATTTTACTTTGTTTCTGATTTGACATGTCTAATACCATGATTACCTCTCCCTATATAGTTCATCCTTTTGAAGCACCTCTGAATTTGACATCTACCAAGATTAATATTTCTCTCTTTGCTTAATTTTACTTGTTATTGCACCTCTAAACTTCTCTTTACTTAATTTTACTTGTTATTGCACCTCCAAACTTGACTTATCTATCAGAGAACAGTTACAATGAGGAAAAAGGAGGGGTTAGCTGATTACAGATACTTTCCTGAGCCAGATCTTCCGGAAGTGATTCTTACTGAGGAATATGTTAACAGCCTGGGCTCTGGATTACCAGAACTTCCGGAAATGAAGCGTAGGCGTTATGAAAAAATGGGGTTGAGCATGCAGGATGTTCTTTTTCTTGCAGATGACTTCAATGTAAGGCTTTAGATAGGATCTGTTACTGTGTTAATTTCCTGCTATAAAGAAGATGGCATTGGGTTTTGAAAAGAATTATTCCAAACATGGAAAAATGAATAATGTTGGCTCACATAAATTGAGGGCCATTGGTTCTTGAAAATGATCATATTTTACTTAAATTTTTAAAAATAATGTCAAAATTGTCATTGACACTTTCTGGAAGGGAGTTCATTCCTTGGTTATAGAAACCTCATGTCGGGTCACTGTTTTACATCTCAAGAGCTGGGTTATTTTGAAGTGGGGGGTTTGAGCGGATATCCTACCTGTTCTAGTATGGTGTTAAATATGTACAGTTTAATATACAAGGGTGGAAATGCAAGGAGCTCTCTCGAGCTCACTATATACAAGTGTCTTCACTACAAAACTTGAAATGTTACACACTAAAAGCTCTCAGTGTTAGGAGACCAAACCCATCTTTTGTATATAAGAATCTCATTGTTATTCCTTGGAAGTGGTATGTGAGTATATGGGATGCAATTTGGGATTTTTCATGTGATTTCCTTAATTGATGCTTGAATGGATTGGTTTCGATTCTTTACAACCTCCGATTTCTTTCTTGCCAAGTCATCCATATTATGGTACGCAGAGAGACTTTCCAGAATTTATCAAATAACTTGTCCAAGCATTTCTTTTTTTGGAAGCAATTTGCTTTGAGCTTTATAAGGCCGACCACTGCATAAGCCGCTGGTGGAGAAAGCTCTTCGAGCTTCCCTTCATTCGTTGCTAAGCCAAGGTCCCTAGTTTCCGAGTCAGCCCGCACTTATTTGAAGAATCCTGCACCCATAGGCATATGGCCGGGCAGGCCTTTTTGGTGTTTGGCTATGTTTGAAGTCAATATAGTAGAACGAGTCAAGTTGCATGAACTTTGAATTTACCTACAGTGTGGGGGATGGCTGATAATGATATACCAATATTTTTACTATTGTTTCCAGCAATCCACTCAGTTTTTAACAGTGTTATCGCAAGCCTCCTTTGGAACACGGTTTAGACTATATGGGGGGCGAACTGATTTTTGGAGACTATCAGAAGTTCCATTGATTTCCTCAAATTTAGTTAACCAATAAAAAAAGATAAAAAATCTTGAACTTGTAAATCTCTTGAGACGTTTTAAATTTGATAAGACTGCAATACCAATAATATATTTGTTGTTTCTGAGTTTCGTTAAAGGAAAGTACTCTATTACTGAGTGGACTATGGAATACTATCAGTCTATTGAGGTCATTTCAAATAATGGGTGGTAACTTAATTCGGTTCTGGTGAGTCCGCCTCATTCTTTGTCAGATTCCAGCATCTCACTGGAGTGATGACCACAATAGACAAAGATTTCCAGGGTTTATTTAACTGCAGTATACTTTCTTTAATGAAGAATTCTTATGTCTCTCAACTGTGACAGGTTTCAAATTTCTTTACTGAATGTATCAGGTCGCGGATTTTTTTGATGCAGCTGTGGGGCATGGTGCTGACGTGAAGCTGGCTGCTAATTGGGTTATGAGTGACATTGCTGCTTATTTGAAAAATGAGAAGCTATCGATAACTGAAATCAAATTGACTCCTATGGAGCTTGCTGAATTGATAGCATCCATAAAAAATGGGACTATAAATGGGAAGATTGGAAAAGAGGTGATCTCCACCGCTGAGTTATATTACTTTTGGTTTTTGTGATAATTTCAGGCTGAGTTATTTCGTTCTTCAGAATATTGTAAAAATTTATTGATTGTTTTGGTCTTTTGCATTTTATCCTATTTGGTTTGCATAATCCTTGCTAAGATTTGTTTATGCATGCCTTAATAGTGCTTGTAATGTGCTCAAGTTGACATGTGGGTCGTCTTCTGGCTTTTTCATTTTCTTATAATCTCCAGATACTTTTTGAACTGATAGCAAATGGGGGGACAGTCGGGGCAATGATAGAAGAAAAAGATCTGGTTCAGGCAAGTGTAATCCCTTGTCATCTACGAATTTGGATGGTTTGCTTATTTGACTTTTGACATTGATTCTGTGGCAACTCTTTAGTGGAAGACATGAATATAGTACTTGGGTTGGAATTGTCCCATAATTATTGCATGTAACAATAGACCCATGGGAGTAGGAATTGCCAAAAGCATAATTCTACAAGAATTTGTGTGTACATGCACACAAATAAAACTTACGTTTCAGAACTCTGAAAGTTAGACTAGCATAGCTCAGGTCATCAAGCTTTTTCGCTTGTAATCTATACTGTTGGAAAATGTGGTATATGTGTTGTAGCACATATACCACACTTTAACAAGAAGCTCATAGAGTTCTCAAGATGCGATTTCCTATGAAAATTCTAACAATTCTAAGATTTAAGTCCCTTCAGATACTAATAAAATCTTGATGTCCTCAAGAAATTGGGACTTCAATAGAAATTGACTTTCTAAATTCTAGGACTTCTATTAAATATCAATTTTCCTCTCTCTCTCTCTCTCTCTCTCTCTCTCTCTCTGTCATATACTACACTACGTTCGTCGACTACTACTACCGTCCGTACGAACGTAACGTTAAGTTTAAGTAAGTAAAGTTA